AACCCTTCTTACTCTCTGACTGTGTACTGGAAGGGTTGTATTGGTATTTATGGAGGGCACCACCTGCTGGTTATAAGAGGTACAGGTTGTAGGAAGCGTACCTTTTACAGCTGTCAGACTTCACAAAATCTTGTTTTCTTTCCAACTCCACCTTAAACCTGGAGTAAAGTCCCAGAAGGAAAAGCAGCTTTTAATAAACATGGGAAAGTAGAGATTCTAGTAGTGACTTGATTTGATTTCTGTGACTCTGATAAACTTGTTGCCACATACTGGCTGTTGAAGAAAAATTATTATGAAAATGACAGATACCTGTTTTTATTTCTTCCCAGATCACTTTATCAATGACTGTTGCTGTTGCTCTCACTCTTGTGGTTTAATCCAGTCAATGTTGTGTACTTTTTTTCCATTCATTGAAAGGACCTTAATATTTTTACTGCAGTCTTTATTGCGTCTTGTAAACATTTACCTTCCTCTAGGGTAGAATGATAATTTCATTGATTTTTTTTTTTTTTCCTTTCTAGGATTGTTAGTATGGTTTTTAAAATTACCAGTATGTTTTTTTAGTTAATTACCATTTTCTTTGAACTTACTCAGTGGTTGTATAAACTCTTTAGTATTAGAATAGTTTGTGTTTCATTGTTCATTCTGTATACAAAACTGTAGGTATTTAAAACAACATGTATATAATGGTATTTGAAATTAATATATACATATATGTGTGTGGTGTTTAAGTCCCTCAGTTGTGCCCAACTCTTTGCAGCCCAATGGACTGTGTAGCCTGTTGGGCTACTCTGTCCATGGGATTTTTCAAGCAAGAATACTGGAGTGGGTTGCCATGCCCTCCAGGGGATCTTCCCAGCCCAGAGATTGAAGCTGAATTGGCAGGCAGATTCTTTACTACTGAACCACTCGGGAAGCCCATATACATATGTACTCTATAATACATTTATATACAATGTATAAATGGACTCTGACACAGGTCTGTTTTTATATAAATAATTTAAGGTACTACTTATTTTCAGTTCATTCGCTCTATCATAATGTATACTACTGAAATTCAACACAAAATGAATGTCAAATAATTTCTTTGACACTCTTTCAGAGGAGAAGCTGTGTGTCAATGTATCTCTTCCCTTGGACTTCCCATAACAGTTAAATAACCTGTTTCTTTACTGTTACCTTCCTTTCTTCTTCTGCATTGCTCTCCTTCTCTCTCTCCTTTCCACCTTTTTTCTCTTACATTATTATTTGGTGTTTGTTCCTGTTGTTGTCTAGGAAGTACATAGAGATCAGTTTACCAAATCCAAGGGCCTGGGGTTATCTTGAAAGAGTGATGTGTATTTCCAAAGTCACTAACACTATATACCATCTCTCCATCTTCAAACATTTTTTTTTCCTAGTTAAAAAGCAATATTTTTCTCTTTTTTCACCCTCTTCTGTTTTCTTTCCTGACCCCACCCCCCACATCAATACAGATATTTCTTAGAGTTTAGTTTCTGTATCTCAGCTCACCCTACACATTTTCTTTATTGATTCTGTAAGCCCCCAAAGCATAAGCTATACGTGGTGCTAAAATGTTTTCTTTCATTGACTTTTCTCTAGAACTTCAGCTTAACATCTCTAGTTGCCTTGAATTCCACACTTAGTTTTTCCGGAGCCCTGACTTCTCCCTGGTTTTCCTGCCTCTGTGATGATGAGGGCAGTCACTGTCCGTGTTCTGCCGCCAGTGTATACTTGGTACGCAGAGAACTGCTGTCACACCAGCCAGGTTCTCAGTAGGTAGTAAATGGTTGACTTTTTAGGAACAAAGGCTTTGAATCTTGTTATCATCTTCTACTTCTCTCAACTAAGCATTCGTAGTCTTTGCATCAGTTTTCTTATTTTTAGTCATTCCCTGCAGTCTGTTCCTTATTAGTTCTTATTGTAATTTTGTAGCAGTTTCCTGTTTTTATTGTATTTGATTTCTCTTCTGCCTAGTCTGTACTTCCTATTTGAGCCACTGTCTCTTAAAATAGTTCTGGTCATTGATTTAGCAAGTATTTCTTGAGCATCTACTTTGTTCTAAGGATGCCTAAAATGATACATACTATCCTTGTTCTAAAAGACATCAACCCTGAATATTGATTGGAAGGACTGATGCTGAAACCCCAATATTTTGGCCACCTGATGCAAAGAGCTGACTCATTGGAAAAGACCCTGATGCTGGGAAAGATTGAAGGCAGGAGGAGAAGGGGGTGACAGAGGATGAGATGGTTGGATGGCATCACTGACTCAATGGACATGACTTTGAGCAAACTCCTGGAGATAGTGAAGGACAGGGAAGCCTGGCATGCTGCAGTTCACTGGGTCGCAAGGAGTCAGACATGACTTAGTGACTGAACAACAAATCCTTGTTTTAAGGAGCTTATAGTCAAGTAGGGGAAGCAGACAAATAAATTTATTAAATGTGATGTGATTAAACGCTAATTATGATATGTTCACAGTTTTCCAGCTGTAGGGGAAGAGCCAAGCTTGGCCTAAGGAGGTTGGGAGAAGTTTAAACATAATCTTGAGAATTCAAGGTACATGGAGTTTGCTTATAGAGAGGGGCCAGTAAATTTATCTTTGAGGAAACAGCTCATGTGTATACTCACAGAAGTATTTCAGACCTCTGCTCACAAAACCATTGCTTATGAAGCTGAAGTGCAAACTGAGAGCCTTGCTTCTTTGTTGCTCTACTTTTCCTTCTTCGCTCCCTTTTACTTCCTTCCACGTTTTCCTTTAGTAGTGGTTTTAGACCAGTAACAAATTCTGAACTTTATTCTCTGGGATTTATTCAGATTCTTTTCTCTGTCCTTTTGTTCTGTATATTGTTAACACTTCACCCGCACCTACTTTCAATTTCTTTAAATCTTATATTTTTCCAGGCTGTTGTTTGTTATTTCTGTTGATTACTTTAGGATTTATTGTGATTTAATTATCTAGGGGAAATGTCTATTTCCTTTGTCAATTTTGAGACTTATCTTAACTCATGTGGCCCTATAGCCACTCTAGAATGTCATGCAGATAATAGGTTCTTGATAAAGTTTTGACTGTACAGATGGAACCATGTCTGCATTATTAAGCTGTAGTCTGTGATCACAATCGTGTCTGTTGTTAAGGGAGACGAACAGCTTTTGCTTCTGTTGAGGCAAGGTAGAGAGACTTTGTTATATTCCAGGTTCTATGGAAAAGTGGGAATCCTATCACATTTATATTTACCTTCCTGTAGAATGGTTTATCCTAGGCATTCACTGAATATCTTCTTTGGTTGAAGGAACACAAACAGCTGTAGGTTTGATTCTTGGCTTTTTCTAACCCGAGGTTGTGAAGTTGTTTTCCTACATTATATTCTAAAAACTTTTCCAATTGCCTCAATATTTAGTTTATTAATTGACCTGAAATTCCTTTTGTGTATGGTGTGAGATATGGGTACAGTGTCATTTTTTTCCATATAGATAATGAAAATCTCAGAACGTAAAAAATTTAAACAACTTTATTGAGTTGTAATTTGTATATCATAAAATTAATAAAATTGACATATTTCAAGTGTATAGTTGAGTAATTTTTAATAAATATCCTGAGGTGAAACTCACCATAGTCCAATTTTAGAACATTTTTATCAGTCCAGTAAGATCCCTCATGCCGATTTATAATTAATCTGTCACTGAATTCTGTATAAGTTTTCATCTTGAGTTCTCAGCAGCATCTCTATTATAGTGTTAAACAAGTGATGATAGCAGGTATGTTTTTGTAGGTCCTGAAAATAGGTAAAACATTTTCAGAAGAGCATCAATAAGCATGATTAATGCTGTAAGGTATAGCATCTTACCTTTCTCAGATTCAGAAATCTTTCATATAACTCTTAGTTTGTTGAACTTTTTTCCTTATTTTCTTTTATAGTTGTGAATTGATCTTGAATTTTCTTCAAACATTGTCTCTTAATTTTTTAGATTATCACATGATTTTTCTTTTTTATTCTGTTAATATGATGAATTCAACCTTGCATTTCTGGGATTAAACCCAGTTTTTTTATCTGCAGCTACATTTGGTTTCTTAAGTATTTTTTTTCTAGTATTTTATTTAAAACCTTTGTAAACAGAAAAGACCTGTCAGTGGTTCTTTTCCCTTTCTCTTACTTTTCTCATTGGGTGTTAGTATCATGGTTATGCTAGTTAGCTGGATAAAGTTGTTAGGTTGGTGAAGGAGTAACTGTGGTTTTGGACTGTGAATTTTAAATCACACAACTAGGCTCAAACACATCTTTATTAATCAAAATAGGAACCATTATAGTCAAGACATTTTTGCTAATAAAAAATAAGTTGGTTTATTCCTGTAGCATAAAAATCCGTGCTTTGGAATTCAGCGAACTCTTGGAAAGCATGATCTTTTTGGGGTTGGGGTAGTATTCTACATTAATGTCAGGAAGAGTCTCTTGTTTGATGTTCTATCTTGACAGGAATCTGTCTTCCTTTTCCCATAAGATCACCAAAACTGAACTCTAAATTTGTCAGGGTTCGCAGATGGTCTCAGGGTGTAAGTAGATATAATGTTCCATTTACTTCTCTGGATTCCTGAATTCTCTTAGATTTTGGCCCAAGTAATTTGTAATACTATAAAAAAATGCTGTGTGTGTATTTTATATATATGTATATATATATAATTTGTAGTATATATTATAAATATTATATATAATATTTTATATATGTAGGTAAGTATATAATTAAATCATATTTTTTTGTAGTTGAAGGATTAGTTCAAATAACCTAGCTTGTCACAAATGGAAATAAAAGTAAAAATAAAATTTTAAAAGTTGGAGAAATGTTCAATAAAATGATTTTCATTAAATAAATGAATCACTATAAATTAGGAAATAGTTAGAATTTTTTCATGTTTATTATGAATACTGTTAATGCTTTTTTTTTTTTTTTTTGGTTTGCATCTAATAGTTTTCTTGTTTTAGGGGTAAAAATACTTCCATCATGGCTCATTCAAAGACAAGGACCAATGATGGAAAAATTACCTATCCTCCTGGTGTCAAGGAAATCTCAGATAAAATATCTAAAGAAGAGATGGTGAGACGGTTAAAGGTGAGTAGAATTAGGTTATGTCCTTTGGGCATCCATTTAGGATAAGTGGAGTTGGGGAGAGTACCTATGGAAATCATATAGGGCTGTACCTTGGTAAAGCACGTCAGAGCAGAAAATATTTCTTGACCAAAACTAGTTAGCTGTAATTAGGAGCTAAGAAAGTGGAATAGGTAAAGAATTGTAGAGTTTCCTTAGCTATTGTTAATTGGAGTATAGTTCCAACGGTGAAGCTCAGGATTTTTAGGGCCTCCTCTCCTGCTCTTGCTGAGTCCCTTCAGTTGTGTCTGACTCTGTGCGACCCCGTAGACGGCAGCCCACCAGGCTCTACTTGGGTATAAAAGACAAATCCCCAATATGCTTATACTCCTTATTGTCTGTGGAAAGTTGTCTCCTCTCTCCAATATCTCATTTATTTTATAAAAACAACCATTTTAATTTGATTTTTAATTCTTATTAAAAATTAAATTTATAAGATTTAATTCTTTCTACTGAGTACTAAGCCTGCATTTTACTTTCTTGTATTTTGAAATTAAGTTAAAGAGCTTTACTTTTAGCTCTTGGTTTCTGATGTGCAGCAATGAGTCAAGATGGATGTCAGACTTCCATTCATGAAGCAGTCACTGTACTGTTAAACTCTTTGTATTTGCTTGAATAATGTTTCGTCTTTGACCATCAGTGATGGTCTTCATGATTAAAATGGTTAGAAGAGCAGAGTGGCCAAGGAGATTATTAAGCTGATTAGTTCAGATGTTCTTTATTTTTAAGCATTTTTTCCCCTTCAGTGTTGTATCCACCTAGACATGTTGCCTGTTATTAATATTTGCCTATATTTCCAGTGTAGAAAGTTTGCCATAATTAATCACTGAAGGCCCAGGAGCTTTAAAGTACTACTTTATTGCTGCATGATTATTTTTATTAGAAGAAAAAAAAACCCTTGTACTATTATAAATTTCATATAAAATCTTAGTATTATAGCCTATGCATACAGTACTGGAATGACAGATATAATGTGTTTATTATTCAAAGCAAAAGGCATCTTTGAGCAGATTAAGTTTACCAATATGTGGATCTTTTATCTAGTTGGGAGTTTGTGTATATTTTATTAGAAATGGTTAAGCTGCAAACTGTATATGGTATTTTTCATTTCTGAGTATCTAGATTTTCTTGACCTATTAAATTTTTAGAGAAAAAGTACAATTTATTTCCTCAATTTGTTTATATTTCAGCAATGGTGTCATGCTTATTGTCTGCTAAGAAATGAATGTTAAACACAGAGATAGATTCCACTTGTAAGCTATTAGCATTTAGTGTCTTTTATGGATGTTATTTTCTTAGACATCTTTTTTAATTTAAGGACTCATATATGAAGTGTTCATGAGTTTGTAACACCATTTAAGTTGTACAGAGTATTGAGGAATTCCTGTTATCTAACCCTTGATTATTTTGGTGGAATGATTGTCACAGTGTTCAATGCTTGTAGTATCCTTTTATTATTTTGTAGACATTTATGCCCAGCAATAATCTGCTTAGTTTTCTTTTTTTTTCTTTGTAATTCACACTTCCCTCTGTTAAGTTTTATAAAATCGTGTTAATATATAAGATGTCATTGTTTATGTAACTCCTAGAGTTTCCTGTAATATTTTATTCAAAATATACTTTTGTCTCACTCTTGTGAAGAGATTCCAGGGGAAGAACGAGTTTCTTGCATGTAGCTTTCCCTTTCTCCCCACATAATACACCTAAGTCCATCAAAGCATATATCTTAAAAGTAATAAAATTAAGAGGTTAGGAGAGTAGCCCTGTACATTGTACTCTTAAACTAATGTAGTGCCAGACTGGAAGGATTAGTGTGTGCCTGGTTCTGGATTCTGGTGTAGTGGAACTGAGGGTCCGTCCTGTGAGGAACACTGTTAGCCACAGCTGCTGTGGGAATTCAGTGTGACATTGGGCAGTTCATTACTCAGAAGTCTTAACTCGGCAGCTGGGTGGAGATCCATGTTGCCATGTGTCTCAAGGACCCAGTCCAGTCCTACTTGTTGATTGGTGTTTGTAGCACCACCTAGTGGATGCCAGATGGTCACCTTTACGTTCTCTGAAAAGTTCGGCAGTTTTGTTAAGTCTCATGTGAAGTAGAAGTAGTGCAGGCTGAGACTTCACTGCGACTGCTAATATTGAAATTAGAGAAAGCTCTTCATAGAATTCAGACTGTAATTTTTCACGATTGTTGTTTCTGTCCCACTTCTTTTATGTAAAGGTTTGATTTCTTCTGCTCACTCCATACATGATGCCATTGAGTCTTACTAATGAACTGTGCACCTCCTGTTCTCTTTTGCTGTAGTGCAGGAAGTACTTCATTGGATGCTTCAGATAGATACTTTCAGAGGAAACATGAAAGTGTATTTATTGGAAGTTAACCTTTGTAATTAATATGGTTTTTATTTTCAGATGAATATATTTTTACATGGAGGATGTCATTATTTGATTTCATTTTATTTTTATATAGATGGTTGTGAAAACTTTCATGGATATGGACCAGGACTCTGAAGAAGAAAAGGAGCTTTACTTAAATCTAGCTTTACATCTTGCTTCAGATTTTTTCCTCAAGCATCCTGATAAAGATGTTCGCTTACTGGTAGCCTGCTGCCTTGCTGATATTTTCAGGATTTATGCTCCTGAAGCTCCTTATACATCCCCTGATAAATTAAAGGCAAGTACTGCTTCAAAGAACTGCCAAGATTGACTGATACTTTATCTTTCTAACTGAAACGGGTATTCGAGTATTTAGATTATTTGTTTGGAGTCTTTGACATTAATTGCAGCAGTCTTTTGCTAAACTACTTTTGTTTTCTTTATTTTCTGTAGAATTTCCTCCCTCCCATTAGTACTTAATTTTATAAAACAAGTTCTGAAGATCAGAATAAGAAGTTGATTAGTAAAGTGTATTGTATACTTTCTTTTTTGGCCACTCCGTGTGGCTTGTGGGATCTTAGTCCCCTGACCAGGGATTGAACCTTGTCCGTGGTAGTGAAAGTGCCAAGTCTTAACCACTGGATTGCCAGGGAGTTTCCTATACTTTTTAAATTATGTCGTCATTAGTGCTATCACTTGGCGTACACTTCCTTTTCCTTTTTAAAAATTAATGTTGAAGACCATGTTCATTATTGAAAAGACAGTATCTAGTGTAAATGTGAATTTATAAGAATCCTAATTCATATAATGGAAGATGTGATGTGCATTGTTCTGAAGCAAATACAGTGGGCAAAATTTTAATGAAAGGTAGAAAACATACCTAGTACTTGATTATGATAGTTTTAAGTAAAGGCATGTCAATGAAATGATTTTTAAAAGATGGAAAAAGAAAGGGAATAACCTGTTAATCCAATGGATAAAAAGAATGAAAATAAGTATAGCTGTGCAAAATAATATCGAGTAAGACAGGTTAGAAGAACATTAGAAAAACCAGCAATAATAAAAGATAACTGCAGAAACTGTGGGTTAGAAAATGAGTCCATGGGAAGATTACTGAGTATGAATTTAAAAAAGACAATTTAGATTTATTGAACAAATATTTATGTTAGTTACCTGTCGGGAACTGGGTTTACCTTGGTGAAAAACAGCCCAGACTTGGTTCTATAGTCAGGGACTTGCATCTTAAAAACTGAAATGAGAAACCTGCTCATTTGATCAAGTCAGCCAGGATTCCAGTAAGGAATGCCCAAACTTCTGTGGGCATGTTTGTCTTATATATCTCACAATGGGGGAAATAGGTAACAATATTTGTTATTTAAAAGTAAACTGAATTATAAGATTTGGGAATGCTCGGAGACTTAAAGTAGATAATATGAGCTGGTCTGTGGAGTTGTGTACCTGAATGAATTGTGAACCTCTAATTTGAGGTACTTAATTGTTTTAAGGAGTAGTTGTATTTAGTAACCGTTTTTGAAGAATGTACTTTTGATAGTATTTTTCTTGAAAAGCTACTCAATAGTCTGCATATTCTGTTTCTTCCCTTTTAAATAAGGTTTATCACTTTACTTATAAGGGACATTTTTTTTCTCTCTTTTTTGATTGATTACGATGCCTCCTTTATAGAATTAGCTTTTATAATTTTAGCCTTTTCCAAACTTTCCAAAAACATCATCTCCATACAAATTTGACTCAGAGTGATACTGAACCTATTTTACCCAGGTATAAAGGGGATGTATAATAAAACGTCAAAAGTAAGAGATGGAGATAGATTGATAAATTGTAGCGGAAAACAAGTATTAATAATTATAATGACTGGGTCGGAAGCCTGACAAGTTAACTTCTAAAGGTCTTTTTAAAATTTCTAAGTTTCTGCAGTCTCTTTTCTTTCCACTTGGTGATTTTGTTTTGCAGTTTTAAGTTTCCTAAACTATGTTCTTTCTATCCAATTACCATGTATAATGCCATTCCACAAACCTGATCAAATCAGCTTTCAGTCATTTCAACGTGTTCGTTCTAATAACAGCATAAGTTTTAGTTTACTCGGTTTTCAGGTCTGTTATTTTTAACTTACTGTAAGATGTTTTTCTTTCTCTACTTTAAGATCATGGTAAATGATTTACTGTCTTCCTTTAAAGGGGGGGTAAGATATTTGGTGTTTTCATGATAATGCACATTAAAAAAATTTCAGCCAAATGCAGGCTTTTTTTCCCCTTTTTTTAAACTGGTTCTTTACAATTGTATCATGATAGATACATATGAGTGCTGAATTATCTTTAGGAATTTAGTGGATGTTTTCATAATCTAAACAATACTTTGTCCTTTTTTTAAAGGATATATTTATGTTTATAACAAGGCAGTTGAAGGGACTAGAAGATACAAAGAGCCCACAATTCAATAGGTATTTTTATTTACTTGAGGTAAGCAGTATGTTATATTTTGAGGTGACATTTTAAAATGGTTTCTGTACATGTGTATTTTTATTAATTAAAATTTTACCCTTTTCACCTCTTAATTTTAGAACATTGCTTGGGTCAAGTCATATAACATATGTTTTGAGTTGGAAGACAGCAATGAAATTTTTACCCAATTATACAGAACATTATTTTCAGTTATAAAGTAAGTTTAATTATAATCTTTTTTAAATATGAAGAATTTTTAGTGTATAGATGAATCTGCATAAACTTTTTTATGATGAATATCAGAAGGCTAATGTTTGTAACTTAAGAATCATTAACATGATTTTTATAGATATGTTTTGAAAATGAATATAGCCAATTTTGTATTGTAGAGAATAATACAAGAGTGGCATTAGTTAATCTAACTGATATAAAAATATTTTTATTATATTATTTTTCTTTTGTTTAAATCATATATTACTGACCCCTTAATTCCTGTGAATCATTTAGTTCTCTGTGTATTCCTCATAATCATCTATTAGAATTAACTTCAACAAAGTAGTTTGATGTTCTGAATTTAAGGCCAAACTAAAGTTACATTTGATTTAATTACTTTGATTGTGAGACTGATAAAAATTAGCAAACGTAATTTTGGAAATGTAGTTTAAAAAATATTTTGGATGCTACTGTAAGATTTTGGAGAGAAGGAAGCTTTAAATGAATATGTAGAATTATATTTAATTAATACCTTAATATCATTGTAAAATAAAGTGTGGAATTCCATGTTATGATTAAATCCTATACATTTCAGGTATGCTTAAATTTAAATGAAATATCAATTTTGAATTTCAGCAATGGCCACAATCAGAAAGTTCATATGCATATGGTAGATCTCATGAGTTCTATTATTTGTGAAGGTGATACAGTATCTCAAGAGCTTTTGGATACAGTTTTGGTAAATCTGGTACCTGCTCATAAGGTAAGTAGCAAAATATACTTGAATATGTATATCTAAAATCTGTCAAGAGTAGGGTCCAGAATTTACTTACGTTTAAAATGCAGTTTATCCTGCTTTATTCCTAGTTTTGGAGACTTTTATTGATTAATGTTAATGAACATTAATTGTATTCAGTAAAACATGACTGTGTGGATCACAATAAACTGTGGAAAATTCTGAAAGAAATGGGAATATCAGACCACCTGACCTGCCTCTTGAGAAATCTGTATGCAGGTCAGGAAGCAACAGTTAGAACTGGACGTGAAACAACAGACTGGTTCCAAATAGGAAAAGGAGTATGTCAAGGCTGTATACTGTCACCCTGCTTATTTAACTTATATGCAGGGTACATCATGAGAAACGCTGGGCTGGAGGAAGCACAAGCTGGAATCAAGATTGCTGGGAGAAATATCAATCACCTCAGATGTGCGGATGACACCACCCTTATGGCAGAAAATGAAGAAGAACTAAAGAGCCCCTTGATGAAAGTGAAAGAGGAGAGTGAAAAAGTTGGCTTAAAGCTCAGTATTCAAAAAACTAAGATCATGGCATCTGGTCTCATCACTTCATGGGAAATAGATGGGGAAACAGTGGAATCAGTGACAGACTTTATTTTGGGGGGCTCCAAAATCACCGCAGATGGTGATTGTAGCCATGAGATTAAAAGAAGCTTACTCCTTGGAAGGAAAGTTATGACCAACCTAGACAACATATTAAAAAGCATAGACATTACTTTGCCAACAAAGGTCCGTCTAGTCAAGGCTATGGTTTTTCCAGTAGTCATGTATGGATGTGAGAGTTGGACTGTCAAGAAAGCTGAGCACCGAAGAATTGATGCTTTTGAACTGTGGTGTTGGAGAAGACTCTTGAGAGTCCCTTGGACTGCAAGGAGATCCAGCCAGTCCATCCTAAGGGAGATCAGTCCTGGGTGTTCATTGGGAAGGCTGATGTTGAAGCTGAAACTCCAGTCCTTTAGCCACCTGATGCGAAGAGCTGATTCACTGGAAAAGACCCTGATGCTGGGAAAAATTGAGGGCAGGAGGAGAAGGGGACAACAGAGAATGAGATGGTTGGATGGCATCTTCGATTCAATGGACATGGGTTTGGGTGGATTCCGGGAGTTGGTGATGGACAGGGAGGCTTGGCATGCTGAGGTTCATGGGGTCTCAAAGAGTCGGACACAACTGAGCAACTGAACTGAACTGAAAACATGAAACACTTACTAGTCATTAATTAAATGGAAAGGAGAGATAATAGATTTTGTACATGTGATAAAATATCTGTAATAACTCAGTTTTGTATAGGATTATGTTTCAAGGAGTATATTACTGGCTACTTAGAAATGGGTTCAATCCCTGGGTTGAGAAGATCCCTGGAGAAGGAAGTGGAAACTCACTCTAGTATTCTTGCCCAGAAATTTACAGAGGAGTCTGGCAGGCTATGATCCATGGAGTCACAAAGAATTGGACATGACTGAGCGACTAATACTTTGATTTTCTTTTCTTTGATTCTCTAGTATATGCTGGGAGACACATAAGCAATTAGGACCTTGTGTAAAAGATAGTGGTAGTATAGACTGAAAGGAGGGGTGAAATTCAGAGAAGTCTTTACTAATTTGGAAAAAGGGAAATGTTGATGGCAGTACTGTTTCTTGTGTGGGTAATGTTAATCAAGTTGTGTGTGTTTATGTGTTTGTGTGTTTTGTTCTTTGAAAGCGACTGACACTGTAGTGAGCAGTTGGAAATATGGTTCTGTGATTCACCAGTATAAAGGTCTCTGCAAACTTAAGACCTTTCTGGCAAGAATATAATTTAAATTTAAAGCTATACAGCTTTCTCAGAAATATTGCCAGTGAAAAATGACCTCATAATCCAAAATTTCCAAACTTTTAAAATAGTCCCTCAATACTGAAAAATCAGGCATTAACTAAAAATTCAGATTATATATTTATGAGCTGAAAATGATAAATACCTTTAACAGAATTAAATATAACAGTTTTATGTCTTAATGCCTGTGAGTGTAAGAGTTAAAAAACATGTAGCTAGTAATATGAATGGAGAAGGTGTAAGGTTAGGGGAAAGAAAGGTATAAATTAAAAATGGTCATTGAAATAAAAATCTTTATTGGATTGTAACAGACATTTAGAGAACTAGGATATAGATCTGAGGAAATTATACAAATACAGTGAGATAAGGAAAAGAAAAAATTCTAACATGTGAAAGAGAGACTGGAAAGGTCCAGTATATCTAAAAGTTATTTAGAATACCAAGTAAGAATGGAAAAAGAAACGATATGCAAGTATATATTTGCTTAACATTTTCTAGAATTGATGAGAAGCATAAATATATGAGTGAGGTAACAAAAGTGTCATAAACAGAATATAAACAAAACCCAGTGCAGACACATCCTGGAGAAATTGTAGAATGCTGAAATAGAAATAATGTATTCATACCAAGCATCCAGAGGGGAAAAGCACAGCCCTTACAAAGAATAAACCTTAAAGTGATGTCTGACTTCTCAGTGGCAAGGACAGATGCCAGAAGATAATGGACCTGTATTTCACAAAGTGCTAAGATAAAATAACTGTACACAGACACAGTTGCTATCCAGTTTGAGTGAACTTAAGACATTAAATATACAACTTGCCGATATACCCTTCCTGAAAGAACTACTACTCTTCAAATACTTTAGAATAATGGAAATTGAAACTTGAAAGAAGTGAAATGTAAGTAGTAGTGGTAAACAACAAAATACTCTTAAGTAAGAACTGATATAAAGCAAAAACAGTAGTAGTAAAAATTATACTTATTAATTAAAGGGATATTAACAAAAGGTCCTAAACCACTGGATAAAAATAACATGTAAGATTGAATGACTTAATGGAGTCGGTGAGTGATATGATCCTGGTGATGATCAGGACAATACAGCTGTAAGAAATTTACTTTGAACATTAAATGAAGTACTTTTTTTAAAATTTTAAGGGTTACAATGTAGGGAAGAATTAAAATAAATGTAAATGGGCCAAATTTACTACTTCAGGTTGTCAGATTAAATTAAAAATAACCTACCTGGTCATTGTTAATAAGAGATAAAGCAAAAATAATTTCAACAAAGGCGACACTAAAAGGATGGGAAAAGTATTTGCCAAGCGCATACTGACTGAAGGGAAATTGAAGTAGCTTGTATTGATTTTAGGTAGTATAGTCTTCACTGGGTAGAGAAGGGATTTATACAGTGATAAACTATAGTGCTAAAATGATATCTAATTTGCAATTACATAGGCTAAAAATATTAGTATATAAAGCATATACTGAAAAAATTATAAGGACAAACTCACAATTTGGTGGGCCAGTTTAAAAACTCGCCAGTAATTATAAATCTAATAGGCCAGTGGTTCCTGAGGATTTTAAACCACAAAGCTAACAATGCTGTAGCACTGTCCAAAGAATAAACCATAATGGGAATTACTAGCTATTTAGAAATGATAATTAAAATGATACATATTGAATCCTCTGGGATTCAAGTTAAATATTTTTAATACAACTTTATGGTTGTGTCCAGCTCAAGAAGTTATAAAAATATTATTAGAATGTACAGGTGGTAGAAGAAAGTAAACAATGAAGAATGGAAGTTAATCAAATGGAAAACACAGTGACATTTCAGAAAAACCTAAAATTGGTAATTTAGGTCAAATCACGTCAGATCAGAAAAAGGGAGATGGTATCAATAAACAGTTTTAGAATGAAATGAAGAACAGCAAACATTAAAAAGATGAAAAACACTTTCCATGAACATTATTTTATGCTAACATTTGGAATTGGTCAAATTTCTAGAAAATATAACTTGCCAATTCTTTTCTCAAGAGAGAAAATTTTGAATAACCTTTAACCAGTAAAAATTTTAATTGGTTTTATTTATTAAAAAAAATTTTTTTTTTAATTGGTTTTAGAAACTAGATCCATAAAACCGGCAAAGGCCTTCCTCCCAAACAACCATGACAATAATGATAGCAACAGCCACAGAACTCAAACCGAGCATAAAAGAACTTAAAATTCATCACCAGCTGATTTCTATTAATCATTTAAGTGGCATGTAATCCTGATATTTAGAAAGCTTTTTCAGATTGTAAAAGGAAAGCATGTTCTACAATTCACATTATGAACAGAATATAATCTTCATAAGGAAACTAGACAGATCCAAGTGCAAGAAAGGAGGATAATTTAATTTAAAGTAAAATACCCACTCCAGTATTCTTGCCTGGAGAATCCTGTGGACAGAAGAGCCTGGAGGGCAGCTCTCCATAGCGTCGCACAGAGTCGGACACGACTGAGCGACTTACCATGCATGCGTGCACTGGAGAAGGACATGGCAACCCACTCCAGTATTGCCTGGAGAATCCCAGGGACAGAGGAGCCTGGTGGGCTGCCGTCTGTCGGGTCACACAGAGTCGGACACGACTGAAACGACTTAGCAGCAGCAGCATACTCATGTAAATCCAGTATAAAATAGCAATGGATAGTATCCAGAATGATACAAAGATGGTTAACAGTAGGCTAAGATATTTGTGGAAATTAACAGAGCAAAGAAAAAAAATATCAGTAGACCTATAAAGAAAACTATTTGCTAAAGTTCAGTATAACTTATGATAAAGACTATTAGCATATTTGAAATAGTAATTTCTTTAACCTTATAAGGTTGTGCATGGTACTGCACTTAATGGTGAAATGGTGAGGCATTCTCTTTGATGTTAGGGATATTGTAAAGATGTCAACTTCTACTCAGGAAAGAGACAAGTATGCTGTTTCTAATTGACATTAACTGGAGGCCTTAAGTTAGTGGAATAAAACAATACAAACAAAAGATAAAAGAAGAAACAAAACTGAAATTATTTTCAGATGTTCTAACTGCTTTTACAGAAAAAAAACAATGTATGAATTAGTTTGTAGAACAAGTAAGAAAATTCTGCAGTTGATAGGTATAAGATCAATATATAAAAATCTGTTAGTATAATTTGGAAAAAAATTTTATTTGTAGCTTTTAACAAAAATTTGAGCTACTTAGAAATTTAATAACTGTACGTGACCTTAGTGTCGAAAATTATTGTGGTTGATGAAAAAGTACATGTTGCATGATTTGTTACATTTATGTGATGGGAAACTCAGTATCGTAATAATGTCATCCCTCTTCATACTAATAGATAACCCAGTCAAAATAGAGACTGTGAATGTGTGTGTATATGAGCATGTGTGTTTAGTTGGACAAATCGGTTTTTGAAAAAGAGTAAGAAAGTGGGGACTTACCTTAACCTGATGTTAAGACATTGCTTCCATATGTCTCTTTGACTGTAAAATCAGGCAATAATAGTAATAGACCAAGGGACATATGGAAGTAATGGAGACCTTACAAATAGATATATAGTTATATAGAAACTTGAGAGTGTGGATATTACAGGGAAGTCTCTGGAGGGAATAATGGACTTGAATGTCCATGTGGAAAATAATTCAAGATTCTTATTTCACACCATGCATAAAAATAAAGTACAGGCAGAATACAGATCTAAATATGAAAAGCCAGTGTTTAAAGTTTTACTAAAAAATATAAAACAACAAATTAACATCAGTGTAGAAAGAATTTTAAAAATGTAGAGAGAACACAAGCCAAGTAGTAGAGAGAGCACAAGCTAAATAGGAAAAGATCGATATATCTGGTTATATTAAAATTAAAACTTCTATGACCTAAGACACCATAAGCATTGTAAAAATTTATAAGATATATTGTGCATATAATTTACACTTAGTGGATAGAATTTATAGAGAAACTTCACAAATAAGAATAAGGCAAAACAGCTCATTTGAAAAATGGCAAAGGTAGTATTTATAGAAAATTACTTCTTATATGTGCAAGGAGCCATGTACAAGACAATTTAATGTCTTTGAATAGGAGGATGAGTAAATAAGCTGTAGTAGGCTATATGGGCTTCCCTGGTGGTTCAGACGGTAAAGAATCCACCTACAATGCAGGAGACCCAGATTCAGTCCCTGGGTCAAGAAGATCCCCTGGAGAAGGAAATGGCAACCCACTACAGTATTCTTGCCTTGGAAATACAGTGGACAGAGGACCCTGGTGGGCTGCAGTCCATGATGTTTCAAAGAGTCAAACATGGCTTAGCGACTAAGCATGCACATACTATGTATTAAAATACTAAACAGGGATCTTAAGTTCTGCTAGACTACTTAGTCTTCAGAGAAAAGTGTCTTTGCTGTGCTGTCTCCCTTTTATTCAAATTGAATTTTAGAGTTTTCTCATTCATTTATTTACATAAGAGTAGCTTTTTGAATACAGGTAACATTTCCTTTTTCATATTTAGTGGTGTATAATATAGGTACTTTTTTTCCCCTCCCCCCTCAGAATTTAAACAAGCAAGCATATGATTTGGCAAAGGCTTTACTGAAGAGGACAGCTCAAGCTATTGAACCATATATTACGAATGTAAGTCTTCCTTGTCCAATTGGTTGTCAGAAAGATTAGCCAAAATTTTAAAGACTGCTCGAAGCAGAATTTTGGCAAGTAGTACATACTTTAAGATTTTTATTGTTTTAATCATTAAGTGTATTTTCTTTCTCCTTATTTAAAATTATTATTGGTTAATATTTTCTTGATTACCTCTATCTTTTGTTCATTTCCTTCTTTCAGATTGCGTAGTAACTAAAACAGTTTTTATTTTGGTTAGCAAACTATACTGTTTTTATTGTTGGAAATTGAGTTAAATGTAATTAGATAAATCATATGGAACTTTTCATTATTCAGAGAAGTTGCTTACAGCTTTTTGGAAATTAAATTGATTTGTACAAGAAGAAGATATGAACTAATATCAGGACATAAAAATTGAAGGCAAGTATGAATGACAGCTATGTGGTGAAAGTTGCCTATCTTACTCTCCTTGGGATAGATTCCATATAAATCTACCTTTTCTGAGAACGGGAAAGAATTGCAGTGAAAAAGCCCTTTCATTATCATCTCAGATCTACTTATTTAAGATTGACCATCTTCTCTTTGTTTTCAGGAGAAATGTATTCTGTCTGCTAGGTTCACTGATAGAAGCTTGTTGAGGTTTTATTTTACCCTCACAGTTCTGGTGAGCTGCACAGCTCTGGATGGCACCATTCACACTGTATTCCGTGTGAATTTGTTCCATCCAGTGGAACAAATCCAGAACACAGTCTTGATGTTGGTCTCTGGAATTGTGTAGCAGGTCTGTCTCCACCCTGCTTTCCACTTTTATCCACATCTGAAAATGTAAAGGATGTAAATCTGTCATCTTGGAAAAATTTAAGAAGGAAATCCTTTTGTAATTATGTATTTAATTTTCCAGAAGTTTATTGAAGGAGATTTTTTCTTGAAGTATACAAAATTTAATTTGGTATATAAAAATGTATCATGGAAATGGAACAATACCTTGGTAAATTCCAGTCTTTGTTGCTGGCTTATTGCTTAAATATTTATAAGTATGTGACGATTTGGAAAAATGTATTTGATTTATAAAGAAACTGTTTTGGAGAGTGAACTTTCAGAAACTGGAGACTTGAATTATGTAATCTGCCTTAAAAGCTCCAATAAGATTTCCAGGGAATTCTAAATATTGATTTCTGCAAGTTTTGTGAGTGTTGTGTATTGGCTGGAGTAAATTGCTTAGATTGAATGGATTGAGTTCTTTTTGTATGACATGATGGCACTTGAAATCTGTAGAGCCACATTTAAACATTCTGTTATTTAGTACCCCTTCCCTTTTCCTTTGCTTCAAGTGCCTGTGAGTGATTGTCTCCATGGATATTAGGTATACTAGGTGAGCTCCTCCTGGTGGTCATTTATTTAAGCTGATACTGCCAAGCCAGTTTTTTTAGGGGAACACTTACTTTTTCTGATGCCTTTTTCTGGTACAAAAATAAGAAAATAACACTGTACTATGTTGGTATGCTTTCTAGGACTGGGAAAATAAATGTTTGGGCAATAAAAGAAAGATTTGGAATAGAATGAGGTGATTAGGTTCATTATACTGTTCTCTCAACATCTGTGTATGTCTGAAAATATTTATGATAGAAGCTAAAAGAAAGATAAAAACACTCTAGTAATCCCATATATATCAAGGTAAAAACATTTCCCTGTCACTTACACCTTATGTTTCCTGCTGTTAGTTCTTGTTACAGATATAGACAGCCACTCCATACTCTTATTATGTCTGTATCAGAAGCTGGGGATGGGGGCAGGAGATACAGGATGAGTAGAATGGTCTGAGCACACCTTCAGTTACATATTTATTCCAAGTATTCTGTCATCATTTTCTTCCCTCTCCCTGTTGTCCTTTTTTTCTTGTTCCCCTGCTTTATTTGATAGTTAGCTAAAAAGTCATTAAGAATTGCTTTTTTTTCCTTCTCCTGTTCTCCCTTCTAAATCTACTTAACTTTTCTACTGCAAATCTATACAGTTACATGTAAAATACTTTCTGGTGAGTTTAATTGTCTTGTGGGGTTTTATAGTACAGTGTAAAACTCATTTAGTCTTTTTGGACTTGTACATGTAAAGCCATTATTCATTTATCTTCCTAGTAGAAAACTAACAAGCAAAAATAGAGGTAGGCTATCAAGGTAATATAACCCCGCTTCTATCTCCTTTTTACTTGAGTATTTTTTCACTCTCATGCACGTAGACACATTCAAGTTTGTTTTTTATAGATAGTGATGTTTTTATATGTAGAACTTAAGAAGTCCAACGTGACGAGTTATTTTTTTAAAATAGAATTTGTAATTTGACAACTCACAAAACTAAAAAGTACATATATGTATTAAAAAGGTACAACAGTATCAAAAACAGAAAGTACATAATGACAATTCAACAAATTCCCTATATGGATCACTTCTTGGCAATGTTATTTTTTTACCAGATCTTTTTAATCACAGGTTTTAGGGGATGACACAAAATTATTTTGTTGCTTTGAAAAAATGTGTTGTTTGTCTTGATATAGTTAAAATTTGGTTAAATTGCTTAATCTCACTTAGTGTCAGTTATTTTGTAATTAAAGTTGATCATCTAAATTTAAGGTAGAATTTCTTACCAGGGTTTAACTTATTCCTCCTACTTCTTTCATCAGGAGGCAGTTGTTATTTAATGTTATGTGAAAATTAGCATTTGTAATGGAAGGACACATGTTTTTTAGAGGGAGATACTTTACTCAAATCTGTATTTGCTTCTTCTGCTGAAGTATACACCTTCAGGAAGTTGTTTTACTTATAATTGTATCATAGTGCCTGTTATACATCATTCATTCATTTAAACTGAATAGATTTTGTATACCTCTGTGTCAGGCACTGTACTAGGGTCTTGTTATACAGTGAAGACTGATTTGGAGATAAGTGGAGACTGTAGGTGTCAAATAAATGTTTTTGATGAAATTTGTAAGGAGTTAAACCAGGCAGTGTTTTTTCCCCCCTTCCATTTTCAAATGAGCTTTCCCAGACTGATAGAAGTTTTCTCCAAACTGATGATTTGAGCACCAAGGTGGCCAGATTGAAAAGAATTATCTTTTGTTAAGGAAAGCTAAATTTATTTTTAAACAGGAGAAAGTTTTTGAATGGAAAAAAAAAACCATTGTATCTTCAACTTGAATGAGAATTTAACCTTTGATGTCTTGAAATTCTTTTCACACAAAATTGATGAACATCACAGACAAACAACTTACTTTTAAAACCAATAAATAATAGTAGAATAGAATTTTTTATTTTCTTCCCTCATGGTTAAGTAGTTTGTACAGGTTCATAAGTCCAAAAAACTTCATTTAAAAACAACCCAAGAACTAAAGGCCAGCAGAGAAGACATTGAAATGTGAAATCCTTGACTGTACTTTCCAGATAGAAAACCTAATTAAGCCAAGTTGTATGTTAATTGTCACAGAAAGAAGAGATCAGAGCAGCTTGTATCATGTAGAGAATCCTTAATGCCATTTTCAAGGAGATAACTATGTAGGATATTCTGTGGGTTAATTTTTTTACATATTTGGAAGACTTTAAATAGATAGGAACTTGATCATTACGCCGTGTGTTTTACCATTTTCAGTAGTAACGTGATAAATGTTTTGAGTGTAGAAGCTTGTGCTGGCTGCTTATAGAAGAAATATGTTCACATTTGATTTTCTTTTGTTTGTGTGTGCTTTTAATTGGACTTCAATTAGTGCTGTAAACCTTTGTGTGTGTGTGTTTATGTATATACACATTGTTTATCAGAATATAAAAGAAGATAGAAAGTATTAGATGATGTTTTGCATTGTAAATATAAAATTACATATTTTAAAAGTGGCATTGGCTCCTACTATGAAGGTGTAAGACTTTGTCTTCCATGCTGTTTTCTCCCATACTGCTGTGGTGAACAAAATGTGATCCCTTGCCCTTAAGAAATTTATCTAGTAGAGGAACTAAGACATGTATACAATTAACTGTGATACAGAGTAAAATATGGTAGGTACCATAATGGGGAATAAAATTGTGTTTGGTAGGTAGGCTGTTTATTGATATGTTAATTGATAAAGCAATAGAAATTTCTTGTCTTTTACTATGTATCAGACGAATTCCATGTTTTATCTTTTTTGGTAACCTCTGGTGCTTTCCTACCTTCTATTAGAAAACATTTTGATATGCCTGTTTTGACTTTGTGTAGCATATTAATGAATTTAATGAAATAATAAAATTTCAGAAAATTCATTTTATCTATGGTACTTCTATTAATGATACATTTTTTTTCTCAAAAGTTTTTTAATCAGGTTCTGATGCTTGGGAAAACATCTATCAGCGATTTATCAGAGCATGTCTTTGACTTAATTTTGGAGCTCTATAATATTGATAGTCATTTGCTGCTCTCAGTTTTACCCCAGCTTGAATTTAAATTGAAGGTAACTATTCTAAAAACATGGTTTTATCAACTAGATTAGCAAAAACCATTATTTGTGGCTTTTTAATCCTTATAGTGCTTTTAACTGAGTGTTTTTAAGTGTGATGGTGTATTACTGTTACTTATTTACATGTTTGTGCCTTGCCTGTTTGTGTATTGCTGGTGGCTGGCATGGTGCCTAGCAGATTGAGTCTGCTTATAATTAATGATTAGCAGGATGAATGTTTTCCAGGTGATGTTTTCTGGGTTGTGACTAACTTTTGAGGTCATAGCTACATATCAAACTTTCGTTTCTAAGGCATAGTTATAGTGGTTCCCCAGACCCTTTGATTGTGCCATAAAAATGGTTTAGAGGCTGTTATCCACATAGGGTGAAATATTTTCGCTTTATGAGTGTTATCTTTGCTTGCTTAGCCTGTATCGAAAGCGCTTTTGTTTTTCAGATTACTTTCTAGAATCTATTAGTAATGCCCTTATTACCTTGGCATTAAATTATGCCGTCAAATTGAGTTTCATTTGCAGGTTTGGGGCATATTTTTCTTTTTCAGATTGTTACATAAAGATTAAATAAATCTGATTATAATTAATACTCTTTGATGAACCACACTGTACCACCCAGAAAAGTTGTTAAATGATTTATGTGTTGTGTTTCTTGTTTCTAAAACTTTGAATTTGTCTCTTTGAAAGCTACAAAATAATCTGTGTTGATAGTGTAATTACCCCCAAAATGCAGTGAATAATTATTCTCATTTTATTCTGGGTATCGTTTTGATGTCTTTGCCAACTGAGCCATTTGATTCGCTGGCCTTCCTCTGCCTGCTCTTTTCATATCACTAACAGTTTTGATGAGGCAGAAGGCAGTCATACCTTTAATTATTTGTTGGCTTGATTTCATCTAATAAAAATATTAAATACTATAAGAAATATAAGAATAAGAAATTAGCATTGCTGCCTCTAGCAAATTTAACATCTATTATGGGAGGAAGAGGAAAAATCCAAATCTAATAAGAGGCCAGATATTATAAGTATCATAAAAGATACAGACAGCATGCGATAACAGCATGCAGAAACACGGAGAGGTCGGAAGGTGCTGAGTGAATTTGCAGAACATGAAGAATTACAGTTGCGTGGTTGTATAAAGTCAGTTTAAATCATCCCTGTCTCCCCATTAGAATCTTTACCTGTGGAGCCTTAATGAACAGACAGATGTCCAGGCATTAACCTAAATCAGAATTTCAGGCAGTGGAGTTCAGAGATGAGTTTTTGGTTAGCAGTTTTTATTTTTAAAAGCCTTACAGGTCATTCTAATGTTCAGTCAGATTTGAAATATACCTTTTTGGAGGAATAGCGAAGGAATAATAAAGTCAGATCATATCATAGAGTCTTTAAATGCTTGGCTTTGGCATTGGTTTAAAATTTTAAAAGAAATCTGTACAGTGCTGTCTAAGTAACTTGACTATTGGTGCTTTGTAACAGTCTCACATTTTGTGTTCAAGTCTAGTATTGTGGCTGGCTCATTCATTTAAATGCTGTCATGTGTTAGAGGCACCAAGATCAATAATGAAGCTTGAGTTCTTATCTGCAGAGTACCTGTGTTGTATATGTAACAGAGACTTTAGTTTTCTTATCTGTGAGGCTTCATCACATTGTTGAAATCCATTACGAATCTGCTGTATGTAAATGAACTGACTTTCCTATTGGGAGATTTAGTGCATATTTATTTCTACAAAGGGCTTAAACAGTCATACATAATTCTCTCTTTACTGTAGGCTTGGCCTCTGTCAATGTCTATTCTTAAAAACCACAAATAGTTTTTCAAGGGTCCCAAGTTGGTTTGATGTGAATTAGTTTTTTATTTTGAATGGAGACAAGCCTCAATTGTAGGCCAGGTCATTAAGTTTTAATCAAAGTTTTAACTTTGGGATGAATTTTCATGTAGAGGAATATTCCTTTAATGTAATTTGAGATGATTAGAGCATTGAAGATAGCATTTAATTTTGTGAAAAGTATATTGAACATTTTTTATGTATAATTCACCTGAAATTCATAGAAAGTTTTCAAGGTTTTTTGAGGGAAATCATGGGAAAAATTATTCTGAGTATATCTACCTCATGGTTTTAAAGCTGTGGTTGTGTTTTGTTTTAGAGCAATGATAATGAGGAACGTCTTCAAGTTGTTAAACTGCTGGCAAAAATGTTTGGGGCAAAGGATTCAGAATTGGCTTCTCAAAACAAACCACTTTGGCAGTGTTACTTGGGCAGGTATATGATTTTGGTGTCCTGTTTTAAAGTAATATGTGTTTATATCTACTTGTTAATTTAAAACAGCATCCACATTTACGATTTTTTCATAAATGAAGTATTTTATATTTTGAAATTTTTGATGCTGATAGTGATTGGCCATATTTACAAATTCCCCTTCTTTGTCTTCAGTAATTTTTTTTTAGTAATTTTTAAAAGATGATATATTTAAAAAGCTATCTTACAAAGTATTATAATCATGAAATTGAAGTATTATTACATAGCAGTATATGTATTATTACATAGCAGTGATTCATTCCAACTGCAAATACATCATTGTGTGTATATATATATATATATAAAACAAAAATTATATTTAGTTAGATTATTTGGAGATTTGTAAGAATAAGAGTATCCATAGAATGGGTAAATAAATGATTATGTATGTTTCCCCTAATAACCTCCTTTCTACATTTCTTATGATAATGAAGAATTGATAATCTGGGCTTTGTTGTATGCTTTTAATGATCCACAAACCTTCTGAAATTGGTTGCAAAGTTTGAATGTGTTTGTGTAATTTTTCTCTGTGAGAAATTTATTACTTTTCTAAAGATTTCCCTGATCTTGAATATATTAAAACCACTTCTCAGTGTCCTGGCTGAAACCTACTTTGACCGTGAGGATAGAGGAGGATTTCCCCCTCCTTCTTTTTTATTATGCTTATAACAAATAATGCAGTTAAGTCATAAATAAACAAGTAAATAAGATTGAATCTTATTCTATTTTCTTTATATTGAAATATTTGCATTGTTACTGCTACTTTTCTTTCTATTTCACTACCAGAGCCTTCAGTGGTTATAATACATTTAATCTCTTCTGGACTTGTTTTTTTCTAATTTGTTAATGAAAAGATAAGCCTTTATACATTAAGCCCTAAATTTTTACTCTGATTTCTTATTTCATATGTAGCTTAATAATAATATTTAACAAGGTATGTTAAACTGATAAATCTTGGCCCATTGTCATTTTGAATTTGATTTTTAGATTTTTTCACCTTAAATACAATGAGCAAGAGGGCACAATATTTTATGTTTAATTAAATTATGCAACTACTAATAATGTCAAAATGTATGTTATTTGACATGTTAAAAACAAAAAAGTATAATTTTTACATAAAGACATTTAATATATCTTTAAATCAGGACTTGGATTCACCAGACCATTGTAGGATTTTCAGAGAAAAAGTTCTACTTTAAATTTGTTACCTTTTTATTACATTTTAGTTTTTCCTTTTACTATTAATGGCATAAACAATCATATTATTGCCCATTTTAAGGAGCTAGAGTATTTATTTAAAGATGTCTTTTAATGGTGATATGGTACATGTTTAGTTGAGAATGGTAGGGTACATAGATTGAGTACTTAGATTCACTCAGGAAACCATGTGAGAATAGATTGGTTTTATGTAGCTTTTTGAGTATTTCCTGAAGCAGTTTTCCTCCCAGTATTAAGCTTTGATGAGTAATTTGTGCCCATTCAGTAGACTGCTGTTTATTTTGTTGTTGCTAAACTTTGTCTCTTACGGTATTAGCTGGTATAAGATTGGGAAACGTTTTGATCTTTGAGAATTAAGACTTGCGAAAATGTTGAATGGAAAATCTTCTTGTTACTCAATTTTTTTTTTTAAATCTTTGTTTTGTACTTCATAATGAACTTAGGTATATTATAGGCTTTGAACATTGGTGGTTTAGAGATAACTAGACACCATATGTTTCCTGATGGAGGAACACGATACTTTTATCAAGTAGTCTTGCTTTAAAAAAAAAAAGAACCTGAATATGATCAAGTCTGTAGACCTGATTACTAATTTGCAGGATTTAGGAGAGAGGGGAACCTGGCAGTTGACATCAGAATGATAAGATTAGCAAAATCTAAACTGTGAAAAACACTATGCACATAAACACAAAACAGTTGGTTCACCAGGTTCTAAGGGAAGAGAAAAAGAGAGGGGAAATATGAAAGTTAAAGATGGTTAAAAAACACATTGGCCAAAAAGTTTTAACTTTCCAGAGCTGCATACTGAGATACCTACATTTTTATGTAAAAATTTGATTTGAAATTAATGTAAATAACTGTGATGTTTAACTATAATAGACAGGAGTAATTATTGGCACAATTTTAAAGTCATAAAATAATACAGGGTTTAGTACAAGATCTGTGAGACATTTGTGAATGTTCTATATTTAAGAAAGAATAATTTGAGGAAGAGTTTTCATTTCAGTATGGGATTTAATAATGTATCCATGAACTATGTATATACTTAACACTTGTATAAGCATATATATTTGAAAGTATAATATTTATAGGAAAAATTTTGTCATTCCAGTTCTTACTTTTGAGCCAAATGTGTATTGTTTAAATATGCTCCTTAAAAGTACATAGTTCTCACAGGAGATTGACATAGTTTAATATAAAGGTTCCATAGCATTTTTACATATATAGTATACAAATCTTTGTTAAAATATTCTGGTTGTGCTTTGAATTATGCTGTATAAATTATTTTTTCTTTTAATTAGAGAAATAAATATAAATCAAGTGCAGATTGAACATGTCTGTTTCTCTTATACTAAAGATTACTCTTTGCTTTTGTATTTTTTCAGGTTTAATGATATCCATGTACCAATCCGCCTGGAATGTGTGAAATTTGCTAGCCATTGTCTCATGAACCATCCTGATTTAGCAAAGGACTTAACAGGTACTGTATACCCATAATGGCAAATATTCCTTGGTGCTCTTTAGGAAAAAAAAAAAGATAGGCTTTATATATAGGACAAAAACCTTCTGTTTTGTACTTTTTTTGTGATGTTAGTGGGTGAAGTCTTCAAATTTACCATCATGGTAGTTACTCTCTGAAGCTAGAAATTTACCTCCTAGTACATAGGCTACAGTCATGTACATAAAAAGTAGTATTATCAGAGACAGTGTTGGTTTCTTAATTTAAGAACAATTCTGAAAGTATTTCAGGCATTTGGATTTGAATAGGTCTTGACTTTGAATACATTATGAGACTTCAGTGGTCTTTAATATTTTGAAAACTTATGTGAGAGTCGTTAATTTATAAACTAATCATGCTTAATGGAGATAACTTTCCTGAAATGTGTAAATTCATAAGGTATTTCAGTTTTTTTAGTAATGTGAGTATTATGTATCTGACTGATGCCACTCTTAAGTTTTTTAAAATTATGAAATATTTCAGAAAATATAGATGAATATAGTAGCCACTGTCTTCCTCAGAAATGTTAGCATTTTTCTGTATTAGTTTAGGAGATTAAAAGAGAAAAAGAAAATACATTGTAGATACAGTTGAAATGCTTTTCACAAGGGATTCTTTTTCCTACTTAGAGTAACTTCTCTATTAAATTTGATCTACAACCTGTTCATGTTTTTCTATCTATGTTACATGTGTACTTGTCTATAAATTATATGTAGTATTCTAAAAGTGATTTAAAAATTTTATTGAAAATATATATTGAATTTGACATAGTTCAACTTATTCCTGTGATCTTATTTTGTGTTTTCTATTTTACACGCCTATTCTTTGCTTCTCTTATTTCTATTTTTCCTCTCATCTGCTCAGTGTATTTTCTTCTCATTTTTCCATTTTTATCCCCATGGGCCTGGAAGTTACATTCTCCTTCATGCTTTCACCACATAGCTGACTAATTAAGTCTAAAGTTAATCAGAATACTAGCTTTCTGAGCAATCAAGGACCCTTGAATACTTTAACCCTGAGCAATCTCTTCCCCAGCTTTCATATTATTGCTTATTATTATTGGGTTGGTCTTCAGGTTTTTAACTTAAAAGACACACTGCATTTTTACCAAAAACTTTATTAAACTTCATATTCACTGTGAACTTTATTAAACTTTATATTGACTGTTTCGTTTTCCTACCATATACCATTTTTCAGGCAACTTCGTAATTTGATCTTCTCAAAACTTTTTTATCTTTTTGAGCAAAGGACTGTTTCAGGTGCCTTTTACAGTCTTCCACAGAATTGAAATTTTTTTCTATTAGGAGAATTTTGTAAAGACTGAAATAAATGGAAAACCAAAGGTGCAATGTCTGGTGAATAATGCAGAGAATCAGAACTTCCAGGCCAATCTGTAACCGTTTTTGCCTGGTCATCGAGGAAACATGCAGTCTTGCATTATCCTGATGGGAGATTGTGTTTTCTCCTAGCTGATTCCAGATGCTTTTTGTTGAGAGCTGCTTTCAGTTGGTCTAATTGGAACCAGTACTTGTTGGAATCAATCATTTGGTTTTCTGGAAGGAGCTTATAATAAAGGACTCCCTTCCAGTTCCACCATATACACAGCATCTCCTTTGGATGAAGACTGGCCTTTGGTGTCTTGTTCCACAATTTCTTCTGTTCTATATTGTTGTATAGTATCCACTTTTCATTGCCTATCACATATACTGTCTTTCTCACTGTTTGAAATAGTTCCATTTGGTAGAGAATGCTCAAGGTGGAGGAGCTTAGGACCTGGGCATTGGTTTTATGAGCTTTTTACATGATATTTGTTAACTGTTCATGTATTGAGTAGTAAATCCATTCACAATCATAAGCCCTGTTTGCTGTTACTCCAGATCCGAACAACAAAATTATATCTTACTAGTCTTCTAATTAAAAAGCTGAATAATAATTTGAAAGTGAAAATGAAGGTACTCAGTTGTGTCCGATTCTTTGCAACCCCATGGACTATAGCCTGCCAGGCTCCTCCATCCATGGGTTTTTCCAGGCAGGAATACTGGAATGGATTGCCATTTCCTTCTCCAGGGGATCTTCCTGACCCAGGGATCGAACCTGGGTCTCCTGCATTGCAGGCAGACTCTTTACTGTCTGAGTCACCAGGGAATATATTCACCTGTGGTACCTCTTCTTTAAACCTAATATATCATTACTGAAGATTGTTCATTTTTCTTTCAGTTTTCTCAGTGCCAGATCTGAACTCCCATGTTTTTTGCTTTAATATTCTCCTCCAGTCTCACATAATTGTTTAATGTTTCATTTCTTCTGTCATCCCTTTGGTCTTTCTTTTAGTTCAGTTAAGTGGAATTGTCTTATGCTCTTTCCTGTAATCCTGTTTCTTTGCTGCCATTGTCTTAATTTAATCTTTCAATAACCTCACTAAGGGTTTGCCTAGTTAAGGGAGATAGAAAGTTGAATTCTCTATGGTCTTTTCCCAGCAGAACCACTTGACTTGACTATTTTAACCATTAAAAAAAAATCAAAGTGAAATATTTAACATTGATATATTTCTTGATTCATTTATGTGGCTTGTTGAATTAGTGAGCCCAGGAGCTGCTAAGACATCCTCCCTGCCCCATAGATGGGGAGGGGATTTACTGCTCAGTGGCATGTGAGCTGCTGTATTTTGACTGAAGAACTACCCTTCCTTCCTTCTTCCTTCTCCTCCTTCCTTTCTGTCTCTCCTGCTACTAATATTTTTGAAACATTAAGCTTTCTACTTAGGTTTTGTTTTTGTTGTGGTTTACTTTCAAAGGTCTTATGCAATCTTTTACGACATTTTAATTGTCAAAGTTCCATTTTAATCATAAAATTTTATCTTTCAGAGTATCTTAAAGTGAGGTCACATGACCCTGAGGAAGCTATTAGGCATGATGTTATTGTGTCTATAGTTACAGCTGCTAAAAAAGATATTCTTCTGGTCAATGATCACTTACTTAATTTTGTGAGAGAGAGAACGTTAGATAAACGGGTAAGTAGGAATAATAATTAGTAGTAGGTTTATATTTTGAATACTAGAAGTTTTAATAGAGTTTCACTTGCAAATATTGAGATTTAAATGAAATTAGCTCTTTTTGGGGGGGCATTTTAATATCTAAAATAATGTTTATAAGAATGTTTTACATTTTGTTACATTAAATTTTGTTCATATTATTTATTCATCCTCAAATGGGACAGGTCTAAGTGGTAGATTAGTCAGATATTTAACCTGTACACTAATCTTAATAAATGACTTTGTAAAGACCTCAGACACAACTTCTCTTTTTCCTTTCATATGGGTATCAATTCATAGTCCTCTAGCTGATTGTATTATAATTTCTATGGAATAGAAAATAAAAGATGTTTTCAACGTGGCAAAGCTAACCCGAGCGGAGCAGCATGCTTCTTGCCCACCTTCCCTGACCCCACACCTGCCTCCTTGAGCACCAGATAGCTCCACTCACTAGTCAGCGGCTTCCGAACAGGGGACTGTGTCTTGTTTTTTTTTTTTTTTTAATTTATTTATTTATTTATTTATTTTATCACAACCATAGTGTATCTTTTTTTTTTACATGTATTCCCCATCCCGGTCCCCCCTCCCACCTCCCTCTCCACCCAGTCCCTCTGGGTCTTCCCAGTGCACCAGGCCCGAGCACTTGTCTCATGCACCCAACCTGGGCTGGTGAACTGTTTCACCCTAGATAATATACGTGTTTCAATGCTGTTCTCTTGAAACATCCCACCCTCGCCTTCTCCCAGAGTCCACAAGTCTGTTCTATACATGGGACTGTGTCTTGTTACGTTTGTGTTCCTTGTTGCCTGGGATGTATTCGGTGCTTAGTGTTTCAGTGACTATTCATTCTCCCCTCCTCCCCATTGCCTTTCCTTCATGGCATGGATTTTATAGACTTAGACTTAAGTGATTTTGGTGAAAGATGAAAATCTTTTATGTATTTAGGGGTTAATTAGCAAAGAAACCAGGAGGCTTGTTGGTAGCTATGAATAACTTTAGCCAGGCAAATACTTTACAACATTTTGACAGTCACTTACAGGTTGATTATGCTCTCTTCATCATTTGATTCTCTCTTTGATCATGCTGGTTGTGGGTGGAGAATAGATGGACAGGAGTTGCATGGCTTTCTTGTGAAATCTGTAGGTATTCAGAGCAACTTATTTTAACTGATAAGTTTTAGACTTGTCTTTACTGAATATACCAGTAGGGTACTAAACAATGAAAAGGCCAAAAGTTGTGAAGGAAGAAAGAGATTTGCATCATGCTAGGGTGACAGCCTTCTGAGTGTTGTTTAAGTAATCTTTTTCATGGTCAGAGTTTGTGTGTTGTTGGGATCATGCTTCACGTGTGTTTGATCATCGTGTTGTGTTTGTTATAGGACTGCTTGGGTCATTCTGTATATATTGAATACCAAAAAGTTGTTAAATGTATTTACATTATTGGTGGTATTAGAATATGCTCTCTTCTTTAAATTCTCCCTAAAACACCAGTTTCAGGAACTAGAGGTAAGATAGGGAATTGGATATACAGTTTTTACAAATGTATTGAATTTTGAGTAAAGCTTTTGAAGTCTTTGATTTCAGTGTGTATGCAAAGGATGGATGAAATAAGGACTATTGTTTACTGTAATTAAAGAAACCAAAAGAAAAATGTTGCTATGACTGCAAAGGAAATATGAAGTCTTTGAGGAATCGTGAAGTTCTAAATATTACTAACATCCTACTGATTATAGTGCTGTAAAATTTAAGGTTAATCTCATACTGAGATAATTAATATTAGATATATAGCAGATATGTACTCATTTAAAAAAATAGTTGAATACGTTATTCTGACACCTGAATGTCTTTCCCAGGTACACAAAATGAACCACTAATGTGTCTTTACATTCAGCATCCGATAAAGCCACTATTCTATGTACCTTTACAAGTATGTTTAATATAGACCATAATTTGGAAAAATTCTATAAGGAATAGCGCACACTTTATGCACTCAACTGTCTTTGCCTTTTAAAAGTTGGTAACATGTTTTCCCTCACTAATTCTAAGTGACATTAAGTAGATTGTGATTGAAATTTGTTTTTAGAGGTTGGTAAGGGTCTAAGATATCAGAAGTGAAATCGCTCAGTCATATCCGACTCTTTGCGACCCCATGGATTGCAGCCTAAGAGGCTCCACTGTTCATGGGATTTTTTCCAGGCAAGAATGCTGGAGTGGGTTGCCATTTCCTTCTCCAGGAGATACCAAAGCATTAAAATTATTTATATATTAATAGATGTCTATGCTTGATATAGTAAATATTAAAATGATAGTTGTATTTTTTCATAGTTATTACAAATTAACATCTAGTAAGTTATGATTAAAATATATTGTGTAAAGTAAATAAAAAAGGGGGTAACTAAACTTGAAGGAATTAATATAAGGAGGCATTTTTGAATTATAAAAAAAATGTTTTTATTTTAAGTGGAGAGTACGCAAAGAAGCCATGATGGGACTTGCCCAGATTTATAAGAAATACGCTTTACAATCAGCAGCTGGGAAAGATGCTGCAAAACAGATTTCATGGATCAAAGACAAATTGCTCCATATATATTATCAAAATAGTATTGATGATAGGTAAGTTAAAGAGACCATAAGTAAAATGTTTCGTGATTTTTGGTATTATATAACTGTTGTTGAGCTGTTGTTTTAGGTGAACTTTTTTTTATAACTTTAAACTCCCCTTTTGGTTTTTACTGCAAGTTAAAAATTTTGAGTGACTAGTTGCTTTCCCACCAAACCCATAAATGAAGTAGTGATGTACATATAACTTTAGGGATGGATACATCTTTTATGGTCATTTTCATATACTGTATTTTAATTGAGTAATATTTGAAAGTAGAAATGTATGCAATTATAATTTAAATTTTGTTTCATAGGTAATTGTATTATAAGGATTCACATTGATTTTTTTTCAAATACAAGTCAAATATACACCTTTTGTATTTAGGCATTTTAAATAAAAACAGTTCCTACTTAAGGCTAAAACAAATAACTTATAAATTTATATATAAAAACACATTATCTGAATATAGTCTTGTGTTTTTCTTTTCCAGTATATAAGATTAGATCTTGTATGGAACCTATCCATTCTGTAGTTAGTAGACTTGTAAATCCTGCTTGCAGTCTGCACTGATTTGATGAATTTTTGATCTTACCTATAAGGATCAAAATAAGAAAATTAAGAACCAGTAGGACATCTTAGAATTTTAAGAGGTGTAGGAAGTAGAAACTGAGTGTCTTAGGTTGATACTAGCTAAGAAATTTCAGTTACTATTTTTTAAAAATGGACATTTTTAAGCTTTTTGAGCATGTGACATTAATGCACAGAGATTTACATTTTGATTTGGTAGCTCCCCTTTCCCCTATTCTTTTTGTTCTTTTATCTAGGTCGTTTTTGATGATGATCACTGTGGAAACTCAGAAGACAAATATTTCCTTGTTAGTTTTAACTTAGATTAGAATTTGTCACTTGGAAAGTTCTAGTGTAGGTTTTTAGCCCTTAATTATTTAGCTAATGAAATTGAGCCCCTAGTATATCACGTGCCCAAGGTCATGTAGAAGTAGCTATCTTTGCTAGGTATAGAAGGTTTTCTTGTATATCCAGCTAACATTTTTTTTGTGGGGTGGGGGAGGCTCTTGTTAAATCTTTTGATTTGTAAATCTCATCTCCATTCAGAAAGAAGAAGCTTTCTTATATGTATTTTTATATGTTTTGGAAATTTACATACATATGTAATACATATATTTATAGAAATTAATAGAGTACTTTATGTTTTTTCATAGATTGCTTGTTGAACGGATCTTTGCTCAATACATGGTCCCCCACAATTTGGAAACAACAGAACGCATGAAATGCTTGTATTATTTGTATGCCACATTGGATTTAAATGCAGTGAAGTATGTTTCAAATGTCAAACTCTGTTCTTTCCATCTTTTGCAGTATACTGGATTTTATGGAAACGAAAACAACTGTATTTTTAATGTTGGCAATTTATGTAATGTACATTGTTTAAATGGTCAGACACAATAGAATACTTGGATATTTTTTCAGAAAGTACTGCTACTAACATGAGATTAAAAAGGATTTTTGTAACTAATTAAAAAACAGCTGATTGATTGGGTAGCTTTTAGGATTTCGTTTTTTCTGTTGTCTCAAGAAATATTGATGTATTTTTTGTTTTTTGCTTATATTCCTTAAGGCATTAGAAGGGTCCATATTGTGAAAGTGGTACTTTCTTATTTTTACCTGATACTGATTAGAATTATAGTGTAAACCAGTAGGATACATATTTTTGTGCTGCATGATCTCAACATGGTGTTATAGTTTGGCATAAAGGTAAGCAAAAATTTACTTTTATGACCATGTTTCATTCAAAAAGTGCTTTTGAAGGCCTTTGTAAGGAATTGGCACTTTATATATGGAAGAGGAATTGCTAATTGAATTGTACTGAGGCTTAGCAAATTGAGGCCTGGAGATTGATATGCTCTAGGTTTCAGAAAGTATAGGTCCTTAGTATTCTAATAAATGGGTAACTTAACCCCCAGCTAATGGGGTTTACATATGAAGAAATCAGAAATCTAGGGAGCTGTACCTAATTTTCATTCCTGTCACAGTGTAATGGGATTTTTCACTTCAGTTCCCCCATGGAAATTGTTATAGGTCTGTTTATATCTTTCACAGAAATGTAGAGAAAAAGATTGTAGGAGGGAAAATGTACATTTCTTAATATCGACTGTATTTCAGGCACAGGAATGTGTGTTAATTCTGTTTCCTGTTGCAATTGGCAGAGTTGAGTAGGTTCAACAGGGACCTTATGACCCACAAAGCTTGTGAAATTTACCATCTGGCTTTTTATAGAAAAAACTTGGCAACTCCTAGCATAAGTGATATTTTTTCTGTTTTCCACGTGATAAACTGAATCCCACAGAGATCAGTTAGCTTGCATAAAATTATACAACTAGTAAGAGATAAGGCCAGAATTTGAATTCAGTTCTACCTGGTTCCAAAACTCATTTTTTCCACTGCATATAGTAAAATATGTTTTCACTGTATTTAGTTGATTGTAAAACGTTAAATTTTCATATGCTAACATCTCTGAAATTGGAATGCATCCTTTTCTTCATGGTGCAGTTGATGGCCTTTTAGCATGGATGAGATACGATATATATATATGTATATCCCTTTTGGAACAAACTATTTTAAGACACAACCAGTCTAGATGCCTTGACTCAGTTCAGCTGTCATTCATGAGTAGTAATGAATTGAAGACACTTTACAGCAAAAAGTGAGAGTTCACCACTCATAAATCCTACTTGAAAAAATTACTAAAGAATAAAAAAGGAAACTAAATCCAGAAGGAAGGAAAAGGATAGTTTTCTTAAACAAGTGTTGGGATCTGTATTAAAAAGTAGATTAGCATCTAGGCTGACATTGAGTCAACTTACACCACTGCAACAATTTGTGAGCTCATGAGAGTCCCTGGGATACCCTTTTCCTTCCCTGGAAGGGGGCACATAGTCAGATAACAACATGTTAAGATGGCAGGTAGTGTTCTGATGTTCTTTCGTCATATAAGAGTGAGGACAGATATGACATGTTGATTAATTAGACCAAGTTTCCCTATTAAAAATTTAAGTCACCCCTAAAAGAATTTGAGTGTATAACTTCCAAACCTGTAGGAGCAAACAACAGTTTTGCTAACTAAAAGTTTTTGTTAACTAAAAGTTTTAGTTTTGCTAACTAAAGTTTTCCTAATGAAAACTTTAATACCAGAAATGGAAAATAAAATTTAAAAATTTGTGAATAGAATACACAAAACATAAATTGCAATTCCAGAACTAAAATAATATACTGAAAATATATTTTGAGATACACTGAAAAATGATTTCGTGGAAAAGCTGAAAGTAAATTCCAATCTGTGGATCAGTTGATTTCTACAAAAATGGTTGGTGAGTGCATGACTACTTCTCTCTTTTAAGTTAAAATAAGTGTGTGTGTGTGTGTGTGTGTGTGTGTATAACATTTTTGAAATTATTTTTTTAAATCAACTTTTTGTAAAGTTTCTCTACGTTCTATACACTAAAACATTTGTCAGGTATCTGCACAATATGTCCTAGAGCTTATAATTATGTTTTTACGATGCTTATGGTGTCTTAGCACATATAAAAGTTTTAATTTTAATATAACCAAATATATCAGTCTTTTTCTGTTTTGCTTGTGCTCTCTTTATATTTTAAAATTCTTTTCTATGCTGAGGTTAATTTGTTTTATATTTTTAAATAAAATTTTAAAGATTTGCTTTTCAGATTGAGATCTTTATTCTTCCTGTAATTTATTTTTATGCATGATGTGAAATAAGAATCTTTATTATTTTCTATATGGATATTCAAGTCCATTATTCCCTCTAATGACTTCCCTGTAATACCCACACTCTCAAGTTTCTATACAACTATGTTATCCATTTGTAAGTTCTCCATTAATTCAATATGTCCCTTTGTCTGTTACTTCTATTAATCAACTTTTTCGAATTAACTGTCCAACTATACACCTGATGGTTTTTAACATTTTATTACTTGCTCTTTACATTTTGTCCGTGGTTACTTTCTCCAAAAGTCTTTACATTTACTGTAATGAAGTATTTTATGCACCCAAAGAAATCATGAGTTTTGAAGCGTAGTAATAACTGTCTATGAATCTGCCACCCACCCTCTTTCATCCTCTTTCCTCTCAGAGGAAACCACTAACCTTAATTTTGTGTTTCTCATTTCCTTTTAAAGAATGGTTTTATTATACGTATGTATGTATCCTTTAATTATATATTTTTTGTTTTTGATCATTTTTGAACTTTTTAAAAGTGGAGTGATTGTGGGTATACTGTGATTTTTTTTTTTCACACCATTCTATTATGTTCCTAAACTTCATCCACTGTCTCTACATAGTTTATGGGTCATTCATTTTCACTGAGGTATTGAATTACTTTGTCATTATTCCACAGTTTTATTCTATCATCTTGACATTGCAGATCTGAATGCATGGAAAGAATGGACATTTGTGTTGTTTCCATTTTTTAATAATGCAAATAATGCTACTGTGAACATTTTCCGGTTTAGTAAACATGCAAGAGTTTCTCTGAGGGATAGTTGTGAATGGTTCTCAGATTTGACTACATATTGGAATCATTTGGAAAGGTTTAAAAAACACTGACACACGAATCTCATCCTCAGTTTGTCATTTAATTTGTCTAGTTTGTAGTATGTGCATTGGGGTTTCTAGAAAAGCATTTCAGGGGATTCTAACGGGCAGACAAGGTTTAGGATCACTGGAGTTACAGCTATGAGTGGAAGTGCTGAGGACGCACATTTCCAGCATTATAAACCAGTCAAATCATTTTCCAATATGATTATACTAATTTACACTCTTGCCAGTGGTTTCTAAGTTTCTCCATCCTCTGTCAGGCATTTTATCTTTTGTGAATCTTTTGGGTATGAAATTTTGTCTCATTCTCTTTCCATTGTCCTGAATACTAATAATGTTGATGTTTTACTTAATGTTTCTGATTTTACCACAGTGCTGAATACTCTGTATTATAATGGCTGTCCTTTTTTATTCATTTGTATTACCATTCTAGCCCAGAAAGTCATTTGAATTTGTGACTTCTAATTAGTTTGAATGGTATTTAAAATAGCTCCTGTGTAACAAGCAGGTTCCTGCTAAGAATTTGTTTGGTAAGGATTTTTTTTTATTGAAAGAGCCATATATTTTATTCTATGACGGTGTTCTTTTGGGGGAGACAAAGTACTTTCTATATTTTAGACTTTTTGATATGTACCCAGTTTTGGGTAAGTCACTAAGTTAGCTGAGTATCTTGATGATTGGAGAGGAGAATTGAGGCAGCTTGAGTACCCTCTGATCACGGTGTATATTTCCACCACCCCCAAGTTTCCCAGAGCAGCTGTTATCGCCGAGAGTAAGTGGTAGTATCAGGTGTCCTGGTGGTGATCTTCTCCTTCATTGATCCGGCTCTCATCTGGACAGCTCTGTACTGCCAAGTCTGAGGGGTAGTTGGCCAGTTAGGAGCAGAAGACTGGAGGAGAGGTTCCTGTCTGCGTCTGACAGGTTTCTGTGGCTCAGGGTGGCTCTTTTCCTTTGAAATGGCGCAAGCGTGTGGTGCAGTGGTGTAAATGGGGAGGAGCCACCTGAGGGGCTTAGCTGTCTACTTAAAATATCACTTAATCAAAAAAAAAGTTAACCAAATGTAAGAGTATCCAGGCTCTAGTCAGATTTTTCACTTTTATTTAGTGACAGAGCTGGAATTCAGACTAATATTGAATGAATGGATATTTGTCTTCCTAGTATAATAATACTGCTTCCACTAGTACAATTTTTTTTTCCTTAAGTGCTGTTTAGAAAGGCAAAACACAAGGACACATTGTCTTTACTGCTTAATATAATTTGATTAAAATGCTTGAGGGGTGCCCTTCCTGATTGTTACAGTACAAATTCTTAGTATGTAATGGTCACTTTTTGAGTTAAGTTGCAACTGTAATAGTTTATAATAAACTTTAGAATTACTTAAGATTTCATCTTTAAATTAATAAATAACTATAATAGATAATTTCTTTTTTATTTTTCTGCTTTAAGTGAAAGCAAGTTTCAAAATCGAGGGCGTTTTGGAGTTAAAAGTAGTGATAAAATGTGTAGGTATGGAGAGAATTCATTGACTTTGGGGTTCAGAAGTAATTTCACAGGTGACTGCTCTGTTTCTTTCAAAAGTATTGTTTTAATTACATAACTGCTACTTTGCTGTGAGACTTTTTCAGTCGTCTGGATAATGGTCAATTTTCTTTTAATGGTTGCATTCTTGAAATGTGCCTGTTAAACTTAGGGAACTTTAGTACCTTGAAAACAGTAAAGTATTTCAAGATGAAAATGCCCCAGTACTGTTGTTTTGCTAGTACCATTTATAAGGGACTACTATAAAGGAATTTATGTCCAAATTTCTGCTAATTTATCTCCTTTTTTAAAAAATACAAAAGTACTTTTAAGACACACTGTTGAGAATGAAAATATTAAGCAAATAATTGCTTTGTCTATCAAAAGAAAATGGATGTTTTTCCATGGTTTTATATATGTCTGCATTAAATTATTATCTTAGAGCAGTGTTTTGTATGTGTGGTAATGGAGTTAATAGAAAGTATGTGCTCAGTCGTGTCTGACTCTTTGTGACCCCATGGACTATAGCCTACCAGGCTCCGGTGTCAATGGAATTTTCCAGGCAAGAATTCTGGAGTGGTTGCCACTTCCTTCTCCAGGTGATCTTCCCCACCCAGGGATGGAACCTGAGTCTCTTTGATCTCCTGCATTGACAGGCAGATTCTTTACCACTAGTGCCACCTGGGAAGCCCCAATAGAAGTATAGATAATTGAAAACAATAATGAGAAATAGTATTTGGTTTTAGAAAATTTCTTTTTAAAAATTTTAAATATAAATGGTTCTGATATTCTATAACTCAGCATTTAAATAACATTAACTGCTCTCTGTGATTTATATATAAATATAAATTTCTTATATTAATCTCTTTTTAAAATTTCTGCCTGAGAATAAAAGTGTTATGGGGACATCAAAATTTTTGCTGTGTAAGATGAATATTCACTTATATAACATAATATAATTTATAAATAACTAATAAAATATATATTATGTAAAATTATAATATTTTTCTTTCAGGAAAAAGTATCCCCATTATCTCAGAGCTCACTGTTGTCTGTCTGTCTTTTATTCCTTTTCATCCTACCTACTGCAAGATATTGTTCCATTAAATATTGCTTTATTTCTCAAGTTTGTAATCACAGTTAATTCCTATGCCCTAGCGTGCAAATGTGTTCCAGTTAATGAGAAATTTTCCCTATTTCTATACAAAAGGAAAAACAGTCACCAGTAATCCCTTTCTTTTGATATACCCATCTCCCCAAATGTCATTCTCTCTTCTCTTTGACTCCTCTGTCTCCATATATCATCAGTTGCTTAGCCCCTGTAACTTTTGCCCCGTCTTTGTCATCTCCTTGTGTAATCTGAACTTACAGAAAAAATTAACATAGTTGGAATATCCTAGAAGGATTTTTATCCCATTTTGTTATTTAAATTTATGTGTTTATGTTTTTCAGAGCATTGAATGAAATGTGGAAGTGTCAAAATCTGCTCCGACATCAAGTAAAGGATTTGCTCGACTTAATTAAGCAACCCAAAGTAAGTTATCACCATTTCTGCTACATGTTGAACAGCTGTTTCTGGTGGAACAGTTCTGACTCTAGAACCTATGACCTCTAACTTAGGACACTGAAATTTTTAAGAAACTTACTACATAGAAAAACTTAAATTTACTGTATCTGCAAAAGGTGATAACCAACAGGAAACAAAATGTGCTTCTGTGTACTGAGAATTAAGCCTTTTTGGGTAACTTTAAAAACAAAAAACAATAACAGCATTATGGAAAGCATATAAAACAGTAAAATTACACTTAATGTTGCTGCACTGAAATGCTGCCATCATCTTTATATAGTCTTGTGGTTATAGAAAGTTTTAGAATCATGTAATTATAGTTTAGTATTTTGATATTTTTACTTACAACCAATATTATGGTAATTTTAATGTATTACCTGGTATTCATAATTATAATTTAATGGTAGTTATTCATCCAATTGCTGTTGTTTGAGAATGTTGTATGTAGGCCTGTAAAAGATATAATTCATCTAAAAATCAGTGTGTCTGGTCATTTTAAATTGCATCCAGGGAAAACAGCACAGTGTTATGTTTGTTTCTTTTTCAGCGTATAGTGGAATTCTTCACCCTTTCCCCACAACATATACCTTATGTTCATAGGACAGAGGTCAATAGAATGCAGTTATTTCATGTAAGAGAGAACATCTCCAGTTTTCCTAGGTGTAAATCTTGCCATTTGCCCTAAAAATCAGTGCGCTAACAGTAGTTGTTTGAGTGATTTATGGTCACTTCACTTTTTTCTTAACCTCTAAATCAGTAGTAGTAATAAGACATTTCTTGTCCCTTGTTGGCCTGATTGAAGCTTTACACCTGAGTAGTATTTTTGTTTTATAGGCTAACAATTATCTCTTTGTTTATGACTTATTGAACATTATTAAAGTCATAATAGCAGCTGAATAGCATTTTAAGTGTATAGGTTGTGTGTTGGGCAGTGTGATGTATGAGACTGTAATGAAGATTACCTTTGTTGACTCTCACTGTCCCTTTAAAATTTATTTAGTGTGAGCTTCTTCTCTTTGCTTGTTCATAAAAACTTGGCATAAAAACTCATGGTATTCCTCTTTAGTCTAGGAATAAAATGCAGGCTCAGTTCAGTTACAGTGTTTTATTCCCTTTTACTTTGTGGTATTTTCCTTTAAATTGTCTTAAAATAATTAACATGTTATCTAAATCAAAGAGAGAATTCTCATTTGTGTGTGGTGGGGAAGAAGAAGAAGCAGAATGTGTATGTGAAGCAGCAGCAGAATGGAGGAGGATAGTACTCTAAAGTGGCATTATAGTGAAAGGAGAATTAAGTCTATTACTTAATACTCACTTTATGTTGAGAATTCTAGTAGATGTTACACAGTTAAAGTTAGAAAAAAAAAGCTGTGTTTAATTTTTGTCTGTTTATAATTCCGCCTATTTTATCAGGAAGACTCTTAGATATTTAATATGTTTCTTTGACTTCTTCCTTATTCCTTCTGATTAAGGTAATTTTTATTCTTTCTTAGCAGTGTAGCCCTTCTACTTATTTCATTTAACTTAACTGATACGCTGTGTCTCTCAAAGTGACTTGCAGTATTGTGCTTTGTTGGTGATGTTTCTTTTCATTAAATAACACTAACCTGATGCAGTGAATAACTAGCATTCTTAGAAACATCACTCATACCCATGACTTTACAGAATATGTTACATGAAGCGCAATGTAATGAAGACATTCATTCACTGAAACATTATACTACCCTGATGCAGCATATAACTAGCCCTCTTGGAAAAATCGTTTGTACATGTTAGTGGCATCTTAATTGTCTTCATCTAGCGTCTTCCCAATGGCTTCCTGACTTACGTGTCATAATCCTCAGGCTTAAATACCTCAGTTCAATCAGAACTATATACTTCTCAATTTTCTGTTTGCAATAGACTACAGATATGAAAACCAATGTTTCCAGATTACTTTGTTCCCCTTTTAAACTAAGTTGTCCTGTCCTTTGAGTATACTTAAGAAAAACAAAATACTTCTGTGTCCCAAAAGGTTGATGCAGCAGTCATATCTTTTTTTTTTTTCTTTTGGGAGGATGACAAAACAGGATGAGGGAAGAAGTGACAAGGGTGGATTATGACTTCACTTCTATCTTTCATTCAGCTTATCGGGGGTTAAACATGTCTAAAGAAGGAGACATGGTGGTCCGTGTGTGGGCCTAAAGTGTGAGTGGGTTATGCTTAACTTTCTGAAGAATATAATGAAGATTATTGTTAGGAGATTTTAATTTTGCATTTTTTTGTGTGATTTTCAGACAGATGCCAGTGTCAAGGCCATATTTTCCAAAGTGATGGTTATTACAAGTAAGTTACTTCAAATATTATATGTAAAATTTAAGGTTTATTTGAGACATTTCTTTCTTTGGTAGTATAAAATATTCCTCAAAGTTCCATTTTAGGCTATGATAATATAGGAAAAGATTAAAGGTTTTTGGTTGATTTTTATTTTTTTTCTTTTCCCCAGCATACTCAGCTTTCCTTTTTGTTTTTTTCTCATTTTCATTTATTTTGCATTCTGTGCAGAATTATTTTGTGTTTTGGTATGAGCAAGAGCTAGATAAAGGTTTTACTACATAAATTTATTTTTGAGAATTCATTCAAATTGCTATGTAAGCTTGCTGTTAAAACCTGAGCCTGTGCTTAGCTGTTGTTTGCTCTAATGTGGATCTGTCTGAAGCTAGTTTCATTGTGAGTCAAAGTTTAGAATGAAGGATATACTTAATAACTGCAAATTTTGTTTTTGAAAAAAAAAAGTTAATTCACTTTTTTGCTTTCAGAGTTTTCAAATAAAATGTCATGTAATTGCTTTTAACAGGGAATACTAAAGGGTAGCATGTCTTCTTTGTTCAGGGCAGGGAAAAGTAGCTTTTTTTGCAGGGCACTAGCTTTTCCTCTCACCTCAGAGATCCCTGTGTATAGCAAAGGGCGGAGGGAAGATCAGGAGCACCTGGGGGAGTGCTTGCACCGAGCTTCCACTTGGCTAATGAAGAGATCTTAGGCGGATTTTTGAGATGTTAACAAATGTTCCAGGATGTATGTGGAAGTATGCTAAGACACTTAAAAAAGAATAGTAACCTAATTCATTGGGTATTAGACTAAGTGATAGAAACTCTGGCATGAGGAGAAATTTCACACCAAAATACCTTTTAGTCCTGAGCAGTTAAATTAGTGTTCAGTCCCTTTGGATAACTTCAAGCAAGTGATTTCATGCTATTGCTTTTTTTTTTTTTTAATTTTTTATTTATTTAATTTATGTGGCTGCACCAGGTCTTAGTTGTGGCATGTGTGATCTAGTACCCTGACCAGGGATTGATCCTGGGCTCCCTGCATTGGAAGCATGGAGTCCTAGCCCCTGGACCACCAGGGAAGTCCCCATGCTATTGCTTTTAAATAAGTATTTCCCTGGTTGTTTGGCTGTGGACACTATCCCCTAAAGGAGATAATTTCCTGTAGTCTTTCTGTTTTAACCTCATATCCATTTTCTTCCAACAAGTACAATATTTCCCAAATTCTGCTCCGAGGGATGTCAATATCCTGCACATATTAGTAGTACCATCAGAAAAAAAGAGTTCCAGTGGTCAAGTATGTTTGTAGCATCTTGAATTAAAGGGATTTTTTGTCGCTGTTTTTCCCTTCCTCCTTTTCTTCTCTCTTTCCTTCCTCTCTCCCTCTCCCATCACTTTCTTTTCATTTTGTTTCTTAGGTGACATGCTTTATTGTAGCCTTAATATGATGCTGTGGAGGGGCTGTAAAGTGACTTTTCCCAAAACTGTTGATACACAGTACAGTAGAATTTTTGTGTTATGGAAATAGGGAAAGATTACACAGTCACATAGTTGGGGGGAGATTAGTTCTTACTATGTTCAGTCATGTAGCCAAGATATAAATGGAACTTCAGAGTCATATATGAACTTGAAGACTACATTTACTGTATTCGTATTTCAAGATTCAACAGGTTTCTGTTACTTTTATTAGAGTCCATATTTCTGTATTACAATTCCTATTATTAGCAGGGTCCTACCGAGTCTGGTTCTCCATTACAGTTGTGAGCAGCCAGAAAAAACGATGTTATGATGGATATTTTGTTAACTTTCGTAAGTGTTTTGATTAATGATGTATTAGGAGAGCAGTATAAAACTAATTTTTGATTCTGTAAGAACTCAGACTTTCTCGTGTGGTAGTGGCATATCTGGCAGTAACACCTGAACCATGTTGTTCAGCCTGTTTTGGTACTGAGCAGCATGCATGTGTGTGCTCATTTTCTGTGGATGCTTTAACAGTAAACAGTGCAGAACAGGAAGATAGTTTCTTCAAGGTAAATCTTACTGATCTTGATCAGAACAATGTATGCACAAGCTCATGGGACAGTAATAAAATTGGTATTTTTCAGGTTGACATTTAAGTCCTTTAGGTATTATATGGAATTATTTAAAATTAACCAGTTTGGTCTTTCTCTGGATAGATGGTCCTTCACAGTGATTTTATGTTTCTAGGAAAAAATTTTTTACTTGTGAAAATTTACTATTAAAGGATCTTTATAATTTTTATCTCATTAAATTAAATGAATTTGTATGTTAGGATTATTCATCAAAGTAAAGAATGAAAAATGTTGCTCTTTTATTATTTCAGGAAATATCTAAAATTGTATTTTAATTTAATTTAAGGAAATTTGCCAGATCCTGGTAAGGCTCAGGATTTCATGAAGAAATTCACCCAAGTGTTAGAAGATGATGAGAAAATAAGAAAACAGTTAGAAGTGCTTGTCAGTCCAACATGCTCCTGCAAACAGGCTGAAGGTTGTGTGGTAAGGAGAGAAATTTAAAAGAGTTAATGTTTGGTGATAAGTCACTTCAGTCGTGTCTGACTCTGTGCAACCCTATATACTGTAGCCTGCCAAGCTCCTCTGTAATGTTTGGAGAAGCCCGCAAACCCTTTTTTGTCCCCTTTTGTAAAATAATTTATGTTCATTATGTAAAATTTAGGAAATATCACAAAAATAATAATATATTAAACTGTGATTACTCTATAGACACAGTTGTTAATATTATGGTGCATGTTCTTTTAAGATTATATTATACAGAGCTTTGTATATTTTACTTTTTCATTAGTCTTTTACTGTATTATCTTTAGTAGCAACATAGCACACCATTGAATATATGTGCCATAATTTATTGAATGGTCCCCACTTGTGTTACACATTTACATTTTTCCCCAGTTTTTGATTAATGTAAAATATAAATAATCTTTATAGCTTAATAATTTTACATAGTCTTGTTTTCTTTTCTTTAGGATAAATTTGCTACTGGCCAGTATCACTGTTGGAAACACAGAACTCAAACAAAAACATTATTATTTTGATAGGATTTGTAAAATCGGTTGCTAATCACATGACCACTTTTTCTCCTTGGATGTATTAGTCATTATTTCTTTTGTAAATTGTGTGTTTTTAATCTTTGCCTACTTTTCTAGATTATCTGTCTTTATCTCATTGGCTTGTTAGTATGTCATGGCATTGTGTGTTAATTAGGCTGCAGGTAGTTTTCCAATAGTTGCAGTTTAGCCCTTTTCATTTTGTTTATGATGCCCTTTACGTATGATAGTTTTGTTATCTCACTAAGTTTGTCAGCGGTCTCCTCAAGGTTTTTGCCTTTGGAGTCTTGCTTATGAAATCCCATTGTACTGCAGGTCAATGAAAATATTTACTTATGTCATTATTATTTAATCTGTTTTCCATGTATCTTCCTAATTCTTTTATAAAAGATGATTCTTGGCTCTACCCCAGATTGACTAAATGAGAATCTTCACAGTGAGGCCCAGGAATCTGTAGTTTTAATAAGCTCCCCTGGTAATTTTGCTTGTTGAAGTTTGATATCCCGTGACCATTGGTTTTATTCTTTTGTGTTTGTTTTTATCCTTTTGGAATATCTTTGGTGTAAGATGTAAGATAGGGATCTAACTCTGCTTTTATTTTTAAAAAATGTCTGTTGAGCTTTTCCAGTATATTCAGTATTACAATATATTGAATAATCCTTTTCCTGTTTTCTTGAAGTGTTACCTTTTTCCTATACTAAATTCTTAATTTAGTCTGTTTGTATTGATTTGTTTATTCCAGCACCAGTACTATACCAACAGTACTGGTACTATGTGATTTTAATTATTGTAGTTTCTTAACATTTTAATGTAATGAATTATTTAAACATACTTTTGTAATATTTTAAACATCTCCATTACAGCGTGAAATAACTAAGAAGTTGGGCAACCCCAAACAGCCTACAAATCCTTTTCTGGAAATGATCAAGTTTCTCTTGGAGAGGATAGCACCTGTGCACATAGATACTGAGTCTATCAGGTATTTAATGAAAATATTGAATTTTCGTTACCATTACTTTGGTCATGCTTTAGTAGTCATTATTGAGTATCTGCTAAATGTAAGGCACTAATCTATATATATATGTATATACATAATGGCTATATACTTATCTGTATATATCTGTATATATTTAGTATTTCATGTTATTTCTTTTAATTTTATGTACTCTTTTTGGATGAAAATTTGTCAATGCAAGCCTAATTTTTATCTGTTAACAGTATACTGGTTAGTTACATAGGTTAGTTGCATAGGTTAACTGATAGAAACAAGTTGCAGTTCTACCTTCTGGAAAAGAAAATAAAGTGATTATGTTATAAAACAACATATGATGCATTTTCACAGGTATCTGAGAACTAAAAATGTTATTTTTAAGACAGCTTTCATTTAATGTTTCAGGTTTGATATCACCTGACTTTGGCATCTTGGAAAATACTTCCTTTTTATGTCTGTACTTGGTTTTGTAAAATGTGGGAAGAGCTCTTCTCTTACTTATTTATTTATGGCCATGCCATACAGCATGATACCAGGGATTGAACCTCTTGCACTGGAGTGCAGAGCCATTCAACCAGTAGATCGCCAGTGAAGCTCCCCCCACCTTTGTTTGTTTTAAACTTTTCCCGAAGTGTTTCAACCCGTTGAAAAAAGGGATACTTATAAAATATGGAGAGCATATTTGTTTGTTAGTGACCAGTAGTACCTTTCAGAGGTATATTAGAATCTAAAATACTACTAATGGTATACTCTGTCCTAAGTAAAGCCCTTTTGGGGGTTTTTTGGAGGGAGGGTATAAGGTATAGCTTTTGGCTTGTAACCCTCTGTAGTGGATGAGGACACTACATTGGATGCCTGTTTTTTATTTTGGACTCCTCTTGCCTTGTCTTTCATTTGAGGAAAGTGTTCTTCAGTTTCAAAAATAAAAGGAAGCAAAACAAAAACTGGAATCCTTTATATTATTACAAGGAAAAATGTGAATCAGACTGAAATTCATTAAATAATCCGATGCCTTCTATATTTAAAACAATGCTAGTTAGGTATTGGCAAAGCATACTTTATACTTTTAATTAATCTTCTGTCTAATAGTGGAATAAGAGTTTTAATCAAGAGATTATATTATAGTTGCATAAAATTGTTGACGCAGATAGTGTTCAAAGGATTAAAAGACTTTCTCTGAGAGGGTAGTAGTATTTGACCTGAGAGGAAGACTGGGTAAGATTTTATTTCTACAGAAATGGGAGGAGAATTCTAGGTGTTGAGTTTTATATAAGCCAAGCTAACTGGATAGAAAAGATTAAGGATATCTAGAAAATGATTGCCATCAAAATTTAAGTTACTCTGTGGAGAAATTTAAGTGTTTTGAGGTGATCCTCAAAAAGCATTTGGGGTCAGATTGTGGAAAGCCTTTAGGATCTGACTTTAGAGCTTTTTACTTTGTTTTTTGGTCTGTTGAGAAGCAGGAATGATTGATGGTGGACAGGAGGAGGGAAATAGAAGAGAGAGCCTGCTAAGGTGTTGTTATAATTTTCTTTGGATGACGGTAGTGGAATAGAAAGGAAAGAACATATTTGAGGAAGGTTTTAAAAGAACAACCTTAGAAACGGGTCCTCTTACTGGAAATGGGGAATAAAATGGAGAAGGAGTCAGAAGTTTATGGGGTCAAATCCAGATGATGAAGAGAATAGTAGTACCTTGAAAAGAATGAAGGGAGGTGGTGAGAAAGGATATGCTTCTTGTTTGGGCATGACAGACAATTTTTTAAAATCAAATTACAGAAAGATAAAACCAGGTCATTGCATTATTTTTGTAAGTTAAGATACTTGTTTCCAGAGGTAATGAATTTTATGAACAAAAAGACTGAGGACCAAAGCACGTCTTTGTAGGTTGGTAATACATAAGATATGTTCAGTCATAACTAATAATAATAATAGGTAATAGCCATTAGTGCTTATAATGTGCAGTCTTTGTTTTATGTGTTTTAACTCATTTACCTCTTTATAAGGCAAAAAATGTTATTATTCCCAGTTTACAGGTAAGGAACAGTGAGCTACACTGATGTTAGAGTACCTTTCCCACTGCTGGGAAGTAGCTAATGGCATTTAAACAGAGGAAGTCTGGCTCCAGTGCCCTCTTGGTTTAACCATCACACTGCAGAAAGGTTCCATTCTCTTTCCCACCAGTAGTCATGGAGTGTCCAATTCACCTAACTTTTCCTAATTGTGGCTGTTACCCTTTTCAGTCTTTGCCATTTTGTAGGTGAATGTTATTGTTTAGTTGCTAAGTCATTTCCAACTCTTTGTGACCCTGTGGACTGCAGCACGCCAGACTTCCCTGTCCTTCACCATCTCCTGGAGCTTGCTCAAACTCAGGTCCATTGAGTTGGTGATGACATTTAACTCTCTCGTCCTCTGCTGCCCCCTTCTCCTCCTGTCCTCAGTCTTCACCAGCATCAGAATCTTTCCCAGTGAGTCAGCTCTTTGCATCAGATTGCCAAAGTATTGAAGCTTCAGCTTCAGCATTAGTCTTTCCAATGCATATTCAGGGTTGATTTCTTTTAGGATTTGCTGGTTTGATCTTCTTGCAGTCCAAGGGACTCTGAAGAGTCTTCTCCAACACCACAATTTGAAAGCATCAGTTCTTTGGCGCTCAGCCTTCTTTATGGTTTCAGCTCTTGCATCTGTACATGACTACTGAAAAAACCACCATAGCTTTGACTATACAGACCTTTGTTGGGAAAGTGATGTCTTTGCTTTTTAAAACACTGTCTAGGTTTGTCATAACTTTCCTTCCAAGGAGCAAGTGTCTTAATTTTATGGCTACAGTGAATGATGGCACTGTTTAAAGTTGAATGTTTTTTCCCCATATGTTTCTTGGCTAATTGCTTTTCTTCTTTTTCTGTAAGTGACTTAGAGGAATTGTCTTTTTTTTATCGATTATATGAATGCTTTATAAAATAAGGCCATTAACAGTTTGATTGCCTTTTAAATTTGTGCTTTACATTAATAAATACTAAATTATATGATCTATCATTTGTTCCCTTTATTATTTCTTTCTGCCTTTCTTTCTGGTATCGTATTAGGTGCTATGTTTTTTACATTTAGGTTTTAATTGTTCTGGAATCCATTTCATTGTAAGGTGGACATAAGAGATCCATCCTTTTTTAAAAGCCTAGTAGCTGGTTGTATCAAACCATTTATTGAAAAATTGGTTCCTTCCTATTTGATTTGAGACATTCCCTTATTGTAGGATAAATTCTTAATAATATTTAGGGTCTTACTGGATTTTTTTCTTTTGTTTCTTTGTATTTTAAGGCTTTTATGATAAAATTTTAAATTTCGTTTAGAAAATTCTTTCATCCCTCCTTCCTTATTATTTACTAGCTGTTCTCAAACCTCACTTAATGTTTCCAGATGAGTTATAGAATGCATGTGTTGAATTTTATCCCACACCAAGTTGTGTTACTGTAAGATATTTTTAGATGTAGTGGCAAATGCTATTTGTGTAATACTGTTTCCATCTTATGAAAATACTTGTCATGATTGTTTCAAATCTCTTTGCTCTCTTTATATAATTTTAGGAGTTATATACAGATTCTGTGCATTTAAAACTTTTTATTCCTAGTTATTTTATACATTTTGACTTGTCATTGTAAATAGATTTCTTCCACCCCTCGCCCCTGTATTTTTAAGGTGACTTTGGCTAATACAGAATAGTTCTGTCAATTTTTAGTGTTGGTGGTGTAACCTCACTGAACTCCTAGTATTTTGTAATAGCTTTTCAGTTTATTCTCTTTGATTTTCCAGGTTGATGCTTTTTATCACTGGCTCTTATTCTGTGGTTTTTAGCTCAGTTGTACATGACTTAGCAACTAAACAACAGCAGTACCACCTCTACAGGAATGCCTTTCCTCACTCCCCTCGCTAACCAACCTCACTTCTTGTCCTGGCCTTCTCTCCAGTCCTTATTGTTTCTTCATTACCTTTTTTAATGTGTTTATTTACTTATTTTTGGCCTTTGGCCTCCTCTCACTAGACTGAGAGCTTCCTGCTCTTAGTCATGGAAGAAAGAAATGAATTTCATTTTGGATACATGGCATTTTTCATTCCTTTGGTACATTTAGGTACTGGAACTGATGAAAATTTGGGAAGAGAATTCAGGCTGAAGATTTTTATTTGGAGTAGTTGGAGCTATGAGAAACAGTTAAGCAGGGAAAATGGGCAGAACAGGACAGAAAACATCCTCAGTGATTTTAACTGTTAAGGGAATGATAAATTTAAGAGGATATTACAAGGAAGACAGATGTATTTGACTCACATCTTGACCTTAGATTTGAGTACATAATATTTTTGTAGAAACATAAATCTACTAAGTGTTTTAAAAAATATTGAATAATTGAATTTTCTTGTATTTTGATACATATTAGGTCTCTGACTTGATGTTTGTTACTTGTTTTTTGTAACAAAATATACCTATCAAAGTGAATGAGTATTTTGGATAATTGACAGTGCATTTCAAATGATTATTTTAAAATCACATAAGCTTGTGTTTAGAAGAAAATAAAATACTGTATTTCCGTTGTGATCTGTTCCGAGTATTCTAGTGAAGATTTATTATATGTTTGTTGTATGACATTTTTGCACCTGTCAGAAGCAGTCCTTTCTGGCTTTCATAACAGTGCCGGACACAATAATATTTGCTAGGTTGTTTGAAAGTGCTTTATGTTACCATTTATCCTTTATTAAAGTATATGTTGTTCTACATATTGGAGCCATAATGAACGTTAGATAATTAATTGGAAAACATTTCTTATCATTCACATGTTTGGACCTAAACTTCACACAGCAAATACAAGAATAAAAATGCAGCATTAATAAACAGCAAGTCAGATAACAAACATTTTGACCTCATTTGAATGGACATGGGGAAATATCATTTCGAAAAGAAGCATCTCAAAATATTTATTACAGCTTTTTGTTTTGCCATAATGGTTGGGAAACAGCTGTGTCAAATTTGTGTGTGGTTTAGTTGTGGTCTGTGCAGAAAATATTCAGGATTATTTTTCTTAAACATTGCTAATAAAAAACGAGTTGACAAAACGGAAAAAAATTTTTTTTTGTTATACTTTAGTGCTCTTATAAAGCAAGTGAACAAATCAATAGATGGAACAGCAGATGATGAAGATGAGGGTGTTCCAACTGATCAAGCCATCAGGGCAGGTCTTGAACTGCTTAAGGTAAATATGCTTACATTGAAATTTAGGCACTTAGGTGCTTAATGAGATAACTGTTATATATATAGTTTGTACTTTGTAGTCTTGAGATTTGCTTTTCTAGGTTAATAGAATCTAAAGTAAAATTTTCTTAATCACTTTTACTCAATTTTAGGTAAAATTGTGAATTTATTCTAACATGTAAGCTAAATATTAATATTTTTATGTTTAAATTATATAATATAGCCTCATATTAATTATATTAAGGATTATAATTTGAAGGTTTCATTAGTGTGCAAAGAACTCACTAACCCTCCCACAGAAAGCACCAAAATTTTAAAGTCCATTTTATGTGTTGTTTTGTTAGCTAAAATATACCATTGCCTTTTACTTATTACAGAAATATCAGTTAATTGTTGATAACTTAGAGCATATAAAATCATAAAGAAGTAAACATTGAGAAGCCTATCATTCATAAATATTTCTTTTGTTTCCTTTTAATCTATAGAAAAATATACTCTTTGGTACAGTTGAAATGAGACTAAATATACAATTTTATATCTTGACTTTTCCCATAGTAAATTATAAGCATTTTCTCAATGTGTTTTAAGACGGTGTTTTTAAGAGTGTCATAAAGCAGATCTGATTTTTTTTAACTGTCATTTATTAGATATTTGCTATAAGTTAATTGCTTTTGCTTCCTCATGTGTAATGGAGGTAGAAATAATACTTATCGCAAAGGGATTAAACTAAGTCAGGTACTTAATGTCTTGGCAGACATTTATTTTGAAAGTGTGATTGTAATGGAGGGTCTAATTTGATTTCCTTCAAATCGCTATACCCAGTTTTACTAGGTCTGTTTATTAAAAATTTCATCCATTTTCAGTTATTTTCTGTTGTCTTTATAATCTATTATACTTTACATTAAATTCTTAGATGTGGTAAGGTCTATTTATTGCTTTATTTTTTCTTTAGTCCTGTGTTGGGGTGATTATTGTAACCTTACAATTTCTTTTACTGTTTGATGTTTTACCCTCTTCCCCTAGATTCAGTTTAGTCCAGTTGCTAAGTCATGTCCAACTCTTTGCGACCCTATGAATCTCAGGACGCCAGGCCTCCCTGTCCATCACCTACCCAAACTCATGTCCATCGAGTTGGTGATACCATCCAGCCGTCTCATCCTCTCTTGTCCCCTTCCCCTCCTGCCCCCAGTCCTTCTCAGTATCAGAGTCTTTTTCCAGTGAGTCAACTCTTCGTATGAAGTGGCCAAAGTATTGTAGTTTCAGCTTTAGCATCAGTCCTTCCAGTGAACACCCAGGACTGATCTCCTTTAGGATGGACTGGTTGGATCTTCCCTAGATTACTTTTTCCCAAAAATGTTATCTTCTTCTAATGACCTTTATTTAGAATAATAGAGGTATTTTGTTAAATCTCTTCTCATTTTCCTTTTCTCCTACCTTCAGTTTCTTCCACCCCTCCTCCCCAAACCTTAACCAAATCCAGATTATTTTGAGAATTATGTTAGCATGTTGTTCAGTTTTGAAGATAACTGTTTCTTCAGATTGTACAGTCTTCCTGCACAAGAATGTTTCTGTTATATATTTGAGTCTTAAATTTTACTTACAGTGCTCTCATTTATTTTTAGCGTAATTACTTGTGTTTTTAGTTTGATTTTAGTTTTTAGTAGCATTTCTAGTGTGTAACATTTTGGATTTATAAAGATGAAAAGGATTTATAGGTCATTTTTATGATCATTTTTTAGGTACTCTCATTTACACATCCTATTTCATTTCATTCTGCTGAAACATTTGAGTCTCTCCTGGCTTGTCTGAAAATGGATGATGAAAAAGTAGCGGAAGCTGCACTCCAAATTTTCAAAAACACAGGAGGCAAAATTGAAGAGGATTTCCCACACATCAGATCGTGAGTTGAGTTTTTTTCTGATAAATATTCTAGAAAATAAAAAATAACTTGCTGTTTCTTGATTTACATAATAGTTGGAGTCAAGTTTTGAGGAAATAATGTCTGGGTTTTATCCTAAGTCTGAACTATTTAGAGTCTTTATTTCCTGGGAGAAGGCATTGATTGGTATTTTAGAAGATTCATGAAAATGTAAGATGACCATGGCATTTCCTTCTGAAGCATCAATTTTGCTTGAAGATTTTAGTGAAAACAGTTTTATAGCAAAAGAGTTCCTTAGCATATTATGGCATAGGATAAACAATTAATGCGAATTTAAGGTCCAGTGAGAAACTCCAAAGGAATTTCAGCCGGATTGTCCATAGTACTCTACTTTCTTCTGTTACATGAGTATTGAATTGAAAATTTACAGAAGTATTGTTTTACTTGACACAGGGAAGCAGAGAAGCATGCAGTAATCATCCTAACAGCAGTATATTTTCTGTGTGTGTTTGAGTGTACTAGTATTTCCAAAAATTGGAAAAATTGCTGTTATCCTGGAGATCTCTAATAGTGGTTAATTATGGTTCAAGATTCTATAATAGCTCAGAAAGAATACATCTTCATTCCTTATGAATCCTTCCTTGCTTCTGTGTGTTCATCTCTCCATCCTGTTCCTGGAGAGCGTAGCTGATAGTTGGTCCTGATATTGCCATAGTCACTGGTGACTGGTTTCACCTCTAGCTGATTGCTTCTGGTCTAGTTAGTATTGGTTGGGGTGCTATGTTTCTCCACGTTGAAGTTGACTGTGGCTCTTTTCTTTAGAGAGAGCCTTGGACAAAGCTAGCATTTTAGAGGCTCAGGTGTAGGTTTTGTTATCCCTTTCTATTCACATGAGCTTAATCAGCTCTAGAAACTATTGATATATAGGAAAAGAGCATTATTTAAATAATAATTGGAACATACCAGAATACTATAACAATATACTTTTGGCAAGGGCGAGAAACTTTATTTTTTAGGACTGGCTTTTTAATTTTTAAGAGAGCCTGGAGAACAGGAATTTTCCTTGTAATGGAGCTGTGACTTTGTGGTCCAGATCAGAGATCAGAGTTTGGAGATACATGTATACACACACACTAAGCGTATAAACTATGTGCAACTCTACACAGGTACTGTACAAATGCCCAGTTATTTTATTATCTCATTTGAACTTTATAACAATTCAGTAAAGTGTAGGAATTACTTTACTGAATCTAATCTTCAAATGCCCAGTTATTTTATTATCTCATTTGAACTTTATAACAATTCAGTAAAGTGTAGGAATTACTTTACTGAATCTAATCTTCAAAGTGGGAAATCTGATGTTTACTTGAGGCAAATTGTTCTAGGTCATGTAGCTAGCAAATAGCCAAGGGAATATTTGAATATTGGCCTGTTTGGATTGCCTATGGTAACATATCCATTATGGCATAGTTTTCTTAATTAGAGCATTGATTGAGTTTTAGTTTGATTTATTCAGCATATTTTTTTTGTTTTCATTCTAGACCGTCTTTTCTAATGTCCTTTATATTTAAAAAAAACATTGTTCAGTATATTTATAGGAAAACTACCAGAGCAAAGTTGAAAGGTGGACATTTTAGAACATGAAGTGAAAGTCGCTCAGTCATGTCCGACTCTTTGTGACCCAATGGACTATACAGTCCATGAATGCCTCCAGGCCAGAATACTAGAGTGGGTATCTTCTCAGGAGATCTTCCCAACCCAAGTCCCCCACATTATAGGCAACTTCTTTACCAGCTGAGCTGTTAATAGTGGAATGGGTAGCCATTCCAGTGGATTTTCCTGACCTAGGAATCAAACCAGGGTCTCCTGTATTGCTAGCGGATCCTTTACCAACTGAGCTATCACACCAAAGGGAATTTTAAAACATTCGCAGCTTTACTATGAAAATGAAGTCCTTGAAATTACTTGATATATATATGCTGAGTATATGTCAGGTGTCTCTCATGAGGAGAATTAGCTCAACTGATAATGAATACCTGCTGGTGCACACTGTTTTCAGTGAGGTTACTCTTGTTATATGTCTTCTAGAAGATATATATGTGGATTTTATTTTTTACATCATTAAATTGGGTGAGTTGATGTTGAGGAAAACTGATGTGTTAAATGAATGTTTATTAAATTATCTTCCATTGAATTCACCAAAATTATTTAAAAGGAAAATGTGTCTTAAGTAGAAGCTACCACAAACTGGAGAGAATTGGTGCTAGATAAGCCATTTAGACTGAATTGAGTGTGGGAACATTGACAATTGATTAATATATCCCTGAATCAGGTGTATAAGGGAATGTATAATAAGTGTTCTTTCATTTGCTAATCTGGAGGGAGAAGTTGAGGTATGGGCAGGCTTTGAAAGAAATGTTGTTCAGTCACTCAGTCCTGTCCAGCTCTTTGAAACACCGTGGGCTGCAGGACGCCAGGCCTCCCTGTCCCTCACTTCAGTTCAGTCACTCAGTCATGTCCGACTCCTTGTGACCCATGGACTGCCGCATCCCAGACTTCCCGGTCCATCACCAATTCCCAGAGTTTACCCAAAGTCATCTCCATCGAGTCAGTGATGCCATCCAACCATCTCATCCTCTGTTGTCCCCTTCTCCTCCTGCCTTCAGTCTTTCCCAGCATCAGGGTCTTTTCAAATGAGTCAGCTCTTCCCATCAGGTGGCCAAAGGATTGGAGTTGCAGCTTCAACCTCAGTCTTTCCAATGAACACCCAGGACTGATCTCCTTTAGGATGGACTGGTTGGATCTCCTTGCAGTCTAAAGGACTCTGAAGAGTCTTCTCCAACACCACAGTTCAAAAGCATCAATTCTTCGGTGCTCAGCTTTCTTGATAGTCCAACTCTCATGTCCATGCATGACTACTGGAAAAACCATAGCTTTGACTAGATGGACCTTTGTTGACAAAGTAATGTCTCTGCTTTTTAATATGCTGTCTAGGTTGGTCATAGCTTTTCTTCCAAGGAACAAGCATCTTTTAATTTCATGGCCATAATCACCATCTGCAGTGATTTTGGAGCCCCCCCCAAAAAATAAGGTCTGCCACTGTTTCCACTGTTTCCCCATCTATTTCCCATGAAGTGATGGGACTGGATGCCATGATCTTAGTTTTCCAAATGTTGAGCTTTAAGCCAACTTTTTCACTCTCCTTTTCACTTTCATCTAGAGGCTCTTTAGTTCTTCTTCATTTTCTGCCATAAGGGTGGTGTCATCTGCATATCTGAGGTTATTGAATTTCTCCCGGCAATCTTGATTCTAGCTTGTGCTTCGTCCAGCCCAGCATTTCTCATGATGTACTCTGCATATAAGTTAAATAAGCAGGATGACAATATACAGCCTTGATGTACTCTTTTTCCTATTGGTAACTAGTCTGTTGTTCCATGTCCAGTTCTAACTGTTGCTTCCTCTCCTGCATACAGATTTCTCAAGAGGCAGGTCAAGTGGTCTGGTATTCCCATCTCTTTCAGAATTTTCCACAGTTTATTGTGATCCACACAGTCAAAGGTTTTGGCATAGTTAATAAAGCAGAAATAGATGTTTTTTTGGAACTCTATCGCTTTTTCGATGATCCAGCGGATATTGGCAATTTGATCTCTGGTTCCTCTGCCTTTTCTAAAACCAGCTGAACATCTGGAAGTCCACAGTTTATGTATTGAAGCCTGGCTTGAAGACTTTTGAGCATTACTTTACTAGTGTGTGAGATGAGTGCAATTGTGTGCTAGTTTGAGCATTCTTTAGCATTGCCTTTCTTTGGGATTGGAATGAAAACTGACCTTTTCCATTCCCGTGGCCACTGCTGAGTTTTCCAAATTTGCTGGCATATTGAGTGCAGTACTTTTTTCAGCATCATCTTTTAGGATTTCAAATAGCTCAACTGGAATTCCATCACCTCCACTAGCTTTGTTCGTGGTGATGCTTCCTAAGGCCCACTTGACTTCACATTCCAGGATGTCTGGCTCTAGGTGAGTGATCACACCATTGTGATTATCTGGGTTGTGAAGTTCTTTTTTGTAAAGTTCTTCTGTGTATTCTTGCCACCTCTTCTTAATTTCTTCTGCTTCTGTTAGGTCCCTACCATTTCTGTCCTTTATTGAGCCCATCTTTGCATGAAATGTTCCCTTGGTATCTAATTTTCTTGAAGAGATCTCTAGTCTTTCCCATTCTATTGTTTTCCTCTATTTCTTTGCACTGATCACTGAGGAAGGCTTTGTTATCTCTCCTTGCTATTCTTTGGAACTCTGCATTCATATGGGTTTATCTTCCCTTTTCTCCTTTGCTTTTGGCTTCTTTTCTTTTCATATCTATTTGTAAGGCTCCCTCAGACAGCCAATTTGCTTTTTTGCATTTCTTTTTCTTGGGAAGGGTCTTGATCCCTGTCTCCTGTGCATTGTCACAAACCTCCATCCATAGTTCATCAGGTACTCTGTTGATCAGATCTGGTCCCTTAAATCTATTTCTCACTTCCACTGTATAATAGTACGGGATTTGATTTAGGTCATACCTGAATGATCTAGTGGTTTTCCCTACTTTCTTCAATTTAAGTCTAAATTTGGCAATAAGGAGTTCATGTTCTGAGCCACAGTCAGCTCCCGGTCTTGTTTTTGCTGACTATATAGACCTTCTCCATCTTTGGCTTCGAAGAGTATAATCATGATTTTGGTGTTGACCATCTGGTAATGTCCATGTGTAGAGTCTTCTCTTGTGTTGTTGGAAGAGGGTGTTTTCTATGACCTGTCCCTCACCACCTCCCAAAGTTTGCCCAAATTCATGTCCATTATATAGATGATGCAGTCGGGGAACCTTATTTTTCTGTAGCAGAGCTAAAGGAAAGACTTTGTGGTCGTACCTTTTTTCTCTGGGTTTAATAGGCATATAGCTTTTCAGTGAGGTAAGGCTTAGAGTTGTGAATCAAATGTCTTATTACCGATTTTACAGGAAAAGAAAAAATAAGTGCTGACCTACTAAAC